GGTAAGGGTACAATATAATTTATGAATGGCAGTCATTGCTATTTACTTTATAAATAAATAAATAAATAAAAGATATAGGTTTCAGAGCAAGTCTCAGCCGGAGTCCCCCTGGGCTTCGTTTTGGGACCCCTGCTGTGGAACACCATGTACGACGGTGTTCTGCGACTTCCGATGCCCAGTGCCACGATCGTTGTCTGGTTCGCTGACGACGTGGCAGTGGTCGTAACCGTCAAGAAGCGCACCGCAGCGGAGGACTTGGTGAACGAAGCTCGCGAGCGCTGCCCTGAAGCCAGCGGCACGCAAGCCGGAGGCAGTCCCGGTCTCGAGCCGGAAAGAGGTGGAAACGGCCGAGATCCGAGTTGGCGGAGCCGTGATTAGATCGCAGAGGGCGATTAAATACTTTGGCGTCCTTATCGACACACGGCTGTCATTCCGGGTACAAATTATGTTTGGGGTAAGGGGTTACGATCCAATTGCCACCGTGGCTTGTTCCGGACAAGGGGATGATGACTCAATTGCCACGCAATTGGCTGCTCTTATGGATGAGCTGGGCACTTGCCACTGGCTCTCTTCTCTCCTATTTTAGGAAGACTACGTCGGGAGTAACTGACTACGTTGATAACGGCCTGTAAGGCACGATAACTAATTTCAATTAATAAAATATTGTTGACGGCCAATGACGGAGTTTTACAGTCAAGCAAATGCCCTTTATTAAATATGCAAATTAAAACTGAAAACTTATATGAATTTACGTAAGCTATGCGCGGCCGGCAAGCCGACCGCTCGTGCAGCAAAGTGCTGACACTAACAAAATCAACATAACTTACCATACCGTGCACCAATAGGAACCAGGCACGGCCCCTAAAGATGTTTAAGCTGATTTTTCAACTAAATACTAGGGTGATCCAATAATCACCTCTACTCCCGCGGTTACTGGACTGTTACTCAGGCGCTGTTCCCGAGAGGAGCTTCGGTGACCACGGAGGCGGATATAACCTTTTCGGAGAGATAAAAGAGCCGAAGTGCTGCTACTAGCCAAGCTGGGCAAGCCGCCGGGGGAGCAAGTCTCCTTCGATAAGCTCCAAGCCAGTTTGGATTTGGACTCTTGACTCCTCGGGGTCCTAATCGATAACCGGCTATCATTCAGGAGTACTTGGAGCACGCTTAGAAGAAGGCCAGGATCACCAGGAAGCTGCTGACGAGCGTCTTCACTTCCCAGATCCTGTATGCGGAGCGGGTGTGGGCGAGAGCAGCCGGAGTCCTATATAGAGGTCCTATATGGAGGGCGTCATGGCCACATATAGATTGTGCGCTGTCAGATTGGCAAGCGCATTCAGGACGGTCTCGGCGACGCAGTGCTGGTGATAGCCGGCATGGTCCCTCTGAGAAGGCTGGTCCGCGAGAAGGCGGAAATGTGTAACGGGAGCAATTGGATCTGGCAGGCCATGTGGGAGGTGCTGAGCGAACTTGGCAGCTTAAGTATCTACCTTAAGAGGTTCGGCTATGACGACGAGGAAGGCTGCCTTGAGTGCCGTTCTGGGATCATAGAGGACACACACCACGTAGTTTTCCAGACGAGGAGAGGGCTGCTCTGGAGAAGGTGGCAAGAACAGAGATCGGGGTGGACACGCTGTTGCCGCTGATGGTGGAGAACCCAAGAATATTGGAAGCGACGTCGGAAAAGGTGATGAAGTCACTGAGATCACTGGAGAGAGGAAGGGGGAGGCGGATGGGCTAAGTGGTTTATCATTGTGCGAAGCATTGCTTTATGGCCGTACCGCACAATGAGGGCCCTTGCCCTGTCATGTAGATGTATATATGCGTAGATCGTATACTAGCAAATAAATATAATCAAATACAATAAGCGTTGCTATTTCCTGCTCTTGTTCGCGGCAAAGCCGACTCAGGTAAGAGCTCAAGGGAAATAAAAACCAACTCATTCTATCCCAAATACGTAAGAGGAAATACATCAAATAAAGGAAAGAGAAGAGACACTGCTTGTTGATACACTAAAAAAAAAGTTAAATCAAGAATATAAAAAAAGAAAGAGCAATTAAATTGCTGCCTATAGTAGCAGGGAAAAAATAAGGAATAAACAATTTCCTGTTTAAACCATTTGGGATTTCCTGTTTAAACCATTTGCCATTTGGGACCCTTATTGTTTACATTGTTCATAAATGACCTGCCCAAAGTCTTGACTAACTCCAGAGTACTTATGTACGCGGATGACGTCAAGCTTTGCGTGCAATACAATGACGTTGCCTGCCAATCGGATTTACAAACAGATCTTAATAATTTTCAAACTTGGTGCCGTGTAAACTTATTAAACCTAAATGGCTCGAAATGCAAGCTAATGACATTCTCTCGTGTCGCTCCTAAGCTTGCTACTTACACGCTGAACGGCTGCTCTTTGGAAAGAATTAATACAGTTGACGATTTGGGCGTCCGCTTGGACCCAAAACTTGACTTTATTGATCATATTTCGTCTATGGTGAATAGAGCCAGGGGTGTGCTTGGATTTATTAAACGGTGGTCGAAGGAATTCAATGACCCCTATGTTACTAAATCCTTATATACTTCCTTAGTTCGTCCTATCCTAGAATATGGATGCTGCGTTTGGAGCCCTCAGTACGGCGTCCATAGTAAACGCATTGAGTCGGTTCAAAAGAACTTTTTACTTTTCGCTCTACGCGGTTTAAATTGGGATGCAAACCAAAGATTACCTTCCTACTCTAGTAGACTCCTATTAATAAACTTGCCGTCCTTAGCCAATCGTAGAACGATGCTAGGGATAACCTTTATTTTTAACCTTATCCATGGTGATGTGGAAAGTGCTGACTTGTTGAGTCAGCTTAATTTCCATGTACCATGTAGAGCCACTAGATCCTATATCCCATTAGTGTTGCGCCACTGTAGGACCTCCTTTGAACTGCATGAACCTTTTAGAGTGTTATGTGCAAATTATAATGATTTGTACACACTAATCTCTAACGTAGATACCCTTCCCAAATTAAAATCTTTAATACTAACACACTTAGTAAGCATGCAAGCTAACAATCTGGCAGCACGCCGGTAGTTCAATTTTCCTCGTATTCTGTCCTATATTTTCCATCGCGCCTACTAACACCTAACCCAAACAGGCACGTGCCTGGTGTCATACGGGCCACTTGAATGTACTGACCTTAGTGCATCAACGTCCAAGAAAACTCTGTGAGTTTCGTGCATTTATGGCAAAGTCCACTGTAACATATTATTGTTTGCAGTGTTACCGGGAAAAATTAAGAAAATAGCGTTGGAATTCCTGCAACCACGAGTGAGTGACAAGTCGAAGACCAATTATTTTCTTTCTCCTCTCTCCTTCGCTTCTTTGCAACTTTGCAACTTTTGTAAGCAAGACTCCTTTTTGTATGTAGCTGTGCTGGTTGACCTGGGCATCACAACACGATCCATCTTTTGTGGTAGAAAAGAAGCGGTTGTGGCCTTGGCTGCTGGGCTGTTCAATTGAAATTGAACATATTTAAATTGAATTGAGCCACAACCGCCATTCAAATGAACTGTAATGAAGTGAAATCCTTGTTATAATACTTGCTAACATCCTAGTTGGATTTATTATATCTGTATGTTATCTTTATTTGTCAACTTTTATAATTTAATTTAAGCTTATATTATTTTACCTTGTATTTTATTACCTTTATGTATATTTAATAGTTTATCTCTTAAATTAAAGAGTTTGCTCGATTATAGAAATAGAAAAGTATTTCTGGACCAAGTAGGGAAGCTCAGACTGAAAAATAACTTAATAAAGAATGAAACTTGTTAGAATAATTCCTTATAATTATGAATTGCTAATTTTTCTCAATTGGAACCATGCAGGGCCCCCAGTCTGGGAGGATGAACATTTGGATTTAGAAGCGTGTCATAAGGAATTCCGAATACTAACAGCAAGCATCTTGGAAATTAAGGTGGGGTGGGCTTGGCAGCGGCCGATAACCATGGCTGCTACGCTTCCGAGTATGTTTGCGGACAGGCAGATTTCCCGTTTTTGATTACTCCTTTCTCTTCTCAAATTTATCTTTAACGGTTTTGATGTATTTATTTCGTTCAGCGTAAGTAAATTATGAATTTTGAAGCGCCTCATCGAAAAACTTAATTCCCGCTGCATGTATGTATAAATGACTTTGATGACTTTCATTTTTAATAAACCCATTAACTCCATTAAACAATGGAAAAACGTAAATAAGCGTAACACTTCTATTTAAATGTTATATATTCATTTATATACACATTATATTTACTATAATTAAAATAAATATTAATCGTATGTCTAAATAAAAACTATTATAAAAACAAATTGTGGGTGATAAATTAAGGGAGAAGTTGGAATGAAGAATACTCAAAATTGAATCAAGAATGTTAAGGATTTAAATATTTAAGAATAATCAGGATTGAATAATGAATTTTCGGGATTAAAATTTACAAGAATCGCCGGGATTAAATTAAGAATATTTGGTATTAAAATTATGTTAAATATATTTTTTTAAGAAAACGTTACCTGATCTAATGTTTTTATACAGTGTCCATAGAGTAACATGGTAATATAGCTCAGTGTGAACCGAGAATGTCTTCAGGATGAAGGAGGTAAGCCTTATCGGCCTATTAACAGAAAGAGAGATCTCCAACCTTGAAGTTGATATATTCTTGATCAACATCATTAGCCCGATCGATTTATCCATGGGCTTTTGTCCGTCCGTCTGAAACAACAGGTGATCGAGCTGCTTCCAATTTTGGTGTTAAAATGTATGTATATATGTTGCACGCAGATCGAGTACGCCTGCTTCACCCCCACAAATCATAAGAGGCATATATGAAATGAAGTGCGGCTAAAAGTATATTGATATTGAATAATTAAACCAGTGCGGATAATAATCATTAGAGTTATTATACAATAAAGTTACAGAGTGTTGAACTTCTGCAACATTTACATTTGTATTGGCATCACAAACATGTTTTTAGAAACAGTTGTCTTTATTTGGGTGTTGAGCAACATTAAACTTCATTTGTCAAATTTTTCTTCATTCTTCCGTACTCTTTAATATAGTTGTTCTGTAAAATTGATCATAATAAGACAAAGTAAGTAATCCGTTTCCACGTTCCCTTTAATGTCACCCAAAATGAGTTTGGTATCATGTATTCCACCGTTATTTGCAGTTATAATCGTCTGTATATTTCCTTCTTGTTTTCATTATACTTCTAATTAATTTATTTTAAACACCAACATATTCTATGCTCCCTAGGATTAGAAATTAGTGGGCGGAGTTACACAATTTGATCTACAACCTCTATATATTTTTCATTAAGAGATATGTAAATTCGATTTAATATTTGATGACCTTATTTGTGGATTCGAGGGAGGCATCTTATAACTATATTTAAATCTAAACCCAAGGTGAATAAAAGCAAGAGGCGAAGAACTGTTGCTTTCCAGAGGATACGTTTCCCCCAGTAACAGGCGTTGTCACCACTCCTCCATTGGCATTGGAGGAAGCCGAAGCGGCAGCTGCCGCATAGTTGTAGCTCATGTACGGCGACACAGTCGGGGAAATTGAGTCCGCGGCAAAGACAGAAGTATGGCTTATACCCAAGTGATTGGAGCTGGATCCACAGGATGGCGAGTGACGGGACTCCATAGTGGAATGATGATGATGGGCGGAGGTAACAGCGGCGGCGGCGGTTGTGCTGGACAAGGAAGAGCTTCCGGAGAAATTCGATGATGAAGCACTGTTCGAACATGGAATTGGCGGTGGTGGTGGTGGCAAAGTATAGGCAGACAGTGCCTCGTATCCCCCTGTTGATCCGCTACAGTTTCCTCTGGAATCTAAGTGAGAATTCCCATCATTCGTTACCAGATGGTGATGTGGCGGCGGTCGTAAGTTTATATGACAAGGATATAGCGAAGGAGGCGTTAGATCGCCACCCTGTTGGGATATTGGCGATATTGGTGGTGCAAGCGATGAGCCAACAACAGAGGAATGATTAAAGGTGGGCATGGGTCCAACCGATCTGAAGATTTCATTGATTTTAAAATAAATTCGATAAATAATACCATTTTATAACTACTTTCCTTTAGTATTTTCTTTTAAACAAGTATTGGAAAGTAAATATTAAAACACAAACAAAAAGAAAGGAAGCTAACTTCGGGGTACCGAAATTTTTATAGAAAAACTAAAAGGGATAATAAAAATCTTTTATAAAAATCATACATGTTACATTTACATTCATAATTTCCCGAACGTTCCTATGGCAGCCATATGATATAGTAGTTATATTTTCGTAAAAATAAAACCGAAATTCTTTAATAATAAAATATGTTCATGTCTCAAACTAGATGCAAATATGTTCATAGCTGGGAAAGTTATACATTTTTTCTTACAATTTTTCGATTGTTCCTATGACAGCTATATAATAAATTTGTCCGACCCGGCCTTTTTCGACTCATAATATTGATAGAAGACTATATGCAAAGTTTCATTTAAATAGCTTTTAAACTAAGAGACTAGTTTGCGTAGACAGACCAACGAAAGAACAGAGGAACGGACAGATGTCTATCTAGCTAGATTGACTCAGCTATTGATGCTGATCAAGAATATATATTCTTTATAGTGCGCTGCAAACTTCTGACTAAAATTATAATACTCTGAAGAGAAATAAAAATAAAGACTCTTACCCATAGGTATCGCTCATGGACAAAGCAGTTGTATGGTGTATATTAGAGTACATGGCACTCATGGAGCCCCCGAAGCTTCCAGTGCTGAAGTTTAGTCGTGGCGACATGGCAGGAACCAGCGCATGGGAATGGGCATGTACATGAGGAGAAATGTTTTCCTGGTGATGTGGCTGGCCGGAAATTCCAAGCGGACAGGGTGAACAAGTGTCGCCGCCACCTCCTCTACATTCTTCATTGCTGCGCCCCTGGGTGTTGTCAGCAGAGCTTGCACTAGATCTATGGTGCAAATTTGTGAGCGTTGAGCTTTCGGTACTCTCAGTTACACCTGGAGCAGCGGTGCAGGCCACGATATTTGGTGATGCCAAGCTCGGGGCACCTCCTGCCACTGATCCTCCTGCTCCTAGCAAAGAAGAACAAGCACTCAAGCTATTGGGACTGTCTGTTAAGGAAGTCGTTGCCGAAGTGGACGATGAGGTGCCACTGGCCCCTGTAGAATTTGGCGTTCTTCGCTGATTACGAAGCTTCTCTTCGCGGCGCCACTTGGCACGACGATTGGAAAACCAAACCTGTATCCTGGCCTCCGGTAACCCAATCTTTCCCGCCAAGCGTTCGCGTGCAAAGACATCGGGGTAGTGGGTGCGTTCAAACTCTGAAACAATATGCAATTATTATAAATATATATTAAATGATGAGTCATTCTAGACAATATTAAAGCCTTTGTGGAATTAATAATTTTCTTTGCTTTAACTGTGGATAGTAGTTCATAAGCACTGAACAAGGTCACTATTTGTATTTGGTCGGTATGCTTAATACACCCGTTTTTGCATAGAACTATTTTTAATCATTTAATAGATCGACCTAAAAAACGTTCGGCTTACGATTTTCTGGGTTTTTTCGGTAGCTTTCTAGCCAAGAAGCGATGTAAAAATATAGAATTTCTGCGTTATGAAAGACTATACATGCTATAGATCGATTGAGAAGTATCTGAAAATTCTAATCACTTGGCATTGACATAAATTAGTTTACAAGAAAGGAAATTAACTTCAACACGCCGAAATTTGTATAGCCTTGCAGATTAAAACTAGATCATATTATTAATGATATTAAAGAATTCAATAATTAATGATTATAAAAACTATTTAACTCGTTGTAGGGGCCAGTTCTCACAGGACCCAAAACAGTTTTATAATTTTGTTAACACCAAACGTAAGCTTAATAAAAATCCTTCCACGCTTTCATTTGAAAACACTTCCGCAAATAATGATCAGGCAATAGCCGATCTATTTTCGCAGTTTTTTCTATTTATTTTATTTTCTGTCTTAGCCTAAACGAAAGCTCTCTCCTTTTAGATCTTCGTCGTGTCAAGCCAGTGTATTCGCCAGGCCCCGACGGAATTCCTGGCTGTGTACTCAGGTATTGTGCCGACGCCCTGTGCTATCCCCTTCTGAAATTGTTTACCTTGTCCTTGGAAACCTCCCACTTTCCCATTATTTGGAAGGAATCGTTTATTATTCCTCTCCACAATGAATGGAATGAAAGCAGGTATTACTTCATTGTTTATTAACATAAATATACATACTTTATATTGTATCGATTCCTAGTCGTCGAAGTTCTATCTAGGGTATATACATATATAAAATCAAACTTTTTGTGAAGCTTTTTGCAATAGCTAAGAATCGATCAATTTCGGATCAACTAAAAATAACTTTGATTGAGTTTCCTACTTTCCGAAAATTTTTTACCTAAAATTCGCCCGTAGATTTAGATTTTTCCCCTAAAAGGAATCCAAAGGCGAGTTGTCCTAGATTTGAACGAATTTTTCCCAACATTTTATTTGAATTTAAATAAAATTTCTTGTTTTCAGGTTTCAGATTTGTTAAAAATAAAAAGTGAGTTCTTCGTATATTTAAAATAATTGTTTATAGTTTTATCGTTGTTTTTTGTTTGATTGTGAAAAAAAAGTTTGAATTTGAATTATGCGCATATATGAGACGTTAAAAGTCGAATTCGTCAAGGTTTTACGAAAAATTTGCCATCGAATTAAGTACAATTTTCCGTAAATTAAGACAGAAACTAAACGAAGCAAGGAGAAAACAACGCCCAATATATGGCGGAAATATAAAAATTAAACCTAAAATAATTTTTGGTAGCTAGCTTTGATTTTATGGTGCTTTGCCTTTAAAGTGTAGGCCTAATTTTTGCAAATTGACTGATCTCTTCTATATAAAAAAGCATTTCAATTTTGATAAACTATTTTTTTCTTTATGCGTATATGCCTAACCTAAACTGTAAATACTTGCTTATAGTTTTAAAATAGTCTGTACATTTGGCTTTGTTTTCTATTGCAGAAAATCATGCTAATATTTATTTAAGCCCCAAACAGGCAACAATTTTTTCCCAGTGACTAATAACCAATAATTACCGCACGAAGCGATTTGTACTACAATAATTTCACACCATATTTAATATTCTATTTAAATAATATACAAATTAGATTTATCTTTTTACTATTTACATTAAGGGAAGCTCACTTCGGCACGCTGAAGTTTACATATGTATATAGCCTTGCAGATTGAACTTCGATCACTTCGGATTATTAAATTATAAAATATATATATTTATGTTAAAAAAAAACAGTGAAGTAATGCCTGCTTCCATTTTATTCACCTATACATGTTATATTTTACATTCACTATTTTGCATTTTCCTCTATATTAATTTATTTAAATAAAAAAAAATTGTTTTAATATTGGACTGAATTGAATTATTTTTTCAATTTCGGCATTGGTATTACTAGCTAATGCATATTTTATTACTTTATTGAATTGATCACCTTAAAGTGAAAAGATGTGGAAAAATACGGAATATTGTGCTTATTCTATTAAAATACGAAAGTACTCAATTACCCTAATACAGAAAAAGGTTAAGTGAAATTGCGAAGTTGATATTCTTAAATCTAAGATATCTACGACACATCATGTAATGGCCAGTCCTTGAATATCCGTCTAAAAGGAACAATGCACATGAAGGGCAATATATTAGCCAGAAAAGAGAGGAAAATGTGAAACTACCGAGCACGAAATAGGCAAAAAGTGCGCCTACCACTACAAGTTCATCTTCGGCCAAGTAGCATGAAAGAGTAATTTATAAAGAAACCAAAACAGTAGCATCGTCAAAAGTTATCATTGGATCTTATAATTCGGCATATTCTCTTCGGGAAGTCTTTACCTTTATCAACGACTACAAAATAAATTCATTTCATTTGTGTAAAAAAGCAGCAACGGTCAAGCAAGGCGGGGGTTAAGTCTTGGTCTGCGTAGTGGGAAAACTAATTTTTTTTACGGGATCATGGAAGCCAACATGTTTAATTCAATTAATTAATTAATTAATTAATTAATTTTCGCCCGTAGATTAGGAAATTCGTAGTAGAAAAAGTAGAAAAATTTTGTTGTTCTTTTATTTGCCCATTTTCCCTAAATATGGGAACAACTTTCCTTAAATTAAAGGTGTACTTTTTCTTGCACTTAGATGGATTTTGTTTGGTTTTACAGTTATTTGACCATGAACATTTTTGCCCTTAATTCAATGGCAATTTTTTCCATATGTAAGAATAAAATTAATTTACTTTTAGGGCAAGTAACCATTAAAATAAAGGAAATTTTGTAATTTTTTAGTTGTTTCTTATGAGTTTACTAGACCAGCAATGCTTAGTACTCATCGGCTATTCTGAAGCATTAGCTCTTCTACAAGTGTCCTAATGGAAGCAAAACTACATCAGTCACCTGGACATATGTTAAAAATAATTAGAAATTTGAAGCAAATGGTAGACTAGCCATCCGATAAATATGTATAAATCAGTATAAATGACTCCATCACTTCTAAATAAAATTAAAATACCATGCAGGGGCATAATGAAGTACACCCTAAATAATATCGTCTTGAGGAAGCTATTTTACATTGCTCTCTATTCTCGAACTGCAGTTCATACCTTTTTCCAGACTATCTATTTGGTCGTTTGTAAATGATGTCCTATTGCGCTGCAACTTTCTTTTCAGTATCAGTCGAGCTTGATCATCCTCAATGTTGTTTTCTATGTTTGAGGCGCCTCCGTTAGAGTTATCTTCTTCGTTGGATCCCGTTTCATCCGTCTGATGGCCATCAAGCTCTTTAGGTAAATAAATCGGAAGCAAAACAAATGTTTGTATTATTAAAAGCCATAGTAAATTTTTAAATGAATCTTAAAATAAATGCACAATTCAAACAGCTCTTTGCGTTTGCGGTTACTTCAAATAATAAGACCGACTAGGCATTACTTATGTGTCGGCGCAAGTAAAAGCCGTGTGTGTGACTGTGTGTAAATGTACTTGACGTTGAATTTTAGTGAATGTGACAGAGCCAAATAGGCGCTGATGGCAGAAATACATGCCTCCGCCGCGGGATAAACCCTGTTCTCCTGTAGCTGTGTCTGTGTCTTTATCTCTCTTCAAAGCACATGTCAGCCGAGCTGGCGAACTGCAGTGTTCTGACAGCCTACAGCAATAGGAATAGTTACAACTGAGCGTCACAGTGACAGACGCCGCAGTCAGAGATCCCGCCAGAACAAAAAGAGGGCAAATCTGAGAAAGGGTGGTGAGAGGATGTATTAGCAGACCTTGAGTTTGGGCACAGTGCGCCATGTTGAATATGTGCGACAATAAGGTAATAAAATAAGCTTTGTTAACAGAACAGACATTTAACTTCTAAATCAATTTATCGTATAGATATAATTTTAACCGAATCGTTTCCGCACCTAGGAAAAACTGTTGACAGCCAATGCTGTGGTTTAGGGGCTCTTCATATTTCCAACACGAAATGCTTTTATGTATACTATTTTTAATTGAATATTTATTCCGTTTCTTACATGAAATCCAACTTACACATGTGCACAAACTTTACAAAAGCTCGTGAATATTTTCTTGATATCTTTAAACCACTGTGCCGTACGTCAAATACAAAAACTAGATAAGACTGTAAAGATATCTGTTTGAGAGATGAGGTCTGTGAAAATATACAACTTTAATAAATATGTATTTTTCTGTAATCTATTTATGCACCCCCACAATCGTCACTAGAGCAGAGTTCAACCCCACAACCACCCAAAAATCGTAATCCCGACCATATAAAACCCATCGCTCTTCACCACAACCACCCTCGCAACGGTTTGTCGTTTAATGAAGTGTCATCGCCTGTAAAATGAGTCTGTAAATCGCATTAAAACCAACTACACGGGCTAAGGGTAAACCTGTCAACCACGGTACAGTGGTAACGTCAGTGGTTGTCCATTGCCCCAAGGCTTTGAAGAATTTCAAACTTTTTAAATCAAAATCCTAAAATTGTGGTTTTTATGAAACATTGTTCTTAAATAAATTGAATATTCATTTATTTTGCCTAGGATTTCATATTCATCAAAATGCTAGAACAATAGCTGGCTGACATTCAAGAAATGAATGAATTCCCTATATTTGATTTTCGCAAAATACTTCAATTATATTAGAAGGTAAACTTTGTTCAATTTTTCACGATTATAAAAGTTCTAAATTGAATATATTTATTACTTATAATTGATAAATATCCTTATTTTAACTAAAATCATATCCTTGCAGGGTATAAAGCTTTCAACGCTGTGAACAAGTCATTCCCGACCCTATAAAGTATAGAGTATATCCTGATCTGCCTGTCTGTCTGTCTGTCTATCTGTCTTTCCGTTTCTAAGCAAACTAAGATCTCTGAATGAATGCAATTATTCTTCTATATACTCTCACTAGTATATGAACGAACCGGATTGGAAGACTATATAATATTGCATTCTTTAAAAGACAAATCTTAATATAATTACGTAAAATATTAATATAAGACAACAATTTTGAAAGTGATATCAGATTCAGATTTTATTAAAATCCAAAAACCTAATATAAACTTTAAATAAGACCACAGGTAGTCGTACGGTACTTTAGTGACCAAATGGTCTTATTTTACAAAAAACATTTTTATACCCTTGCAGGATATTATAATTTTAGTCAGAAATTGGCAACGCAGTGAAGGAGTCCTCTCCGACCATATAAAGTCTATATATTCTTGATCAGTATCAACAGCAGAGTCGATCGATGTCCGTCTATCTGTCCGTTTCTACGCAAACTAGACTCTTAGTTTTGAAGCTATCTGAATGAATGCAATTTTTCTTCTATTTATGTATGTATATATAATTAAAAGGGACATGGCGGGGAACAACAGCAAGAAATACCAATTTTCATTGGCTGCAATGATTTCAGTTAAAATAAGGATACTTAATGAAAAATGAAATAAATATATTCAATTTGGCACTTCCATCAGCTCATCAGAGTCATCTAGCTCTTTTTCTAGCATTTTGGTGAATTTAAAATGATACGCAATATACAAAAATGATGTCAATTTATTTACGAACAAGGCAAGCCGAAGTTTATTTACGCTTTCAGATTGCAATTCGATCGTTAATAATTATTGCAATATAAATTATGTATATTTGTTAAAATAAGAATGGAAGCTAACTTCGGAACGCCGAAGTTTGTATACCTTGCAGATTGCAATTGATCATTAAAAATTAATAGAATATAAATTAAATATATTTATGTTAAAAATAAATCATTCTTTAATAACAGTCATATATATATTTATTATAATTATAGTTTTACTGTTATAGTTATAGTTATTCACTGTTTGGCATCTTCCTTTACACTTAAAGATAGTTTCTATGGCAGCTATGTATATGAATAGGTTCCCAATTTTCATAAAATTAAAGCGGAAATTCAAGAATGATATAAAATGGCTGTATCTCAAATTTGATGAAAATATGTAGACAATTAAAAATGTTATAATTATTTAATTGTAATAGTGTATAATCTTCGTGCCGACGCTTTCCTTATTGTTTTCTTTTTTTTTTAAATCAGAACGTATGAGAGGACGTTGTTTCCAATCCAGTTGGTCACGTTTCCATCGCATTTACGCACGTTTAGTCGAAGAAATTTTTGTGCAACTTATAAAAAATAAGAAATGAAAAGAACACAAGAGGAAAATTTGCAAATGCCTGTCTTCCCGATACTTTAATTCGTTCGTGCGTATACATATCGAGCATCAGACAATTTCGTGCAGAGACGGCTTTCGGCCTTTCTTATTTTTCTTGCAAAATTAAGGTTTTATCCGACCTTGAGCATTAATAATTGACCATGAATAATACATATGGAATTGACTAGTTTTTTTTTTGTATATCTATACTTAAAATTTTTTTTTTTATTTTTATTAATTTGTTAATAAATATATAAATTGTGTGATCCGATTGTCTGTTACATATGGGTATGAGATACAATAAATTAAAAAAATTAAGCAAGTGCCTTCTAAAAAAAATTAAATAATTGTATTATTAAACAAGTAACCTAACTTCGCTACGCCTTTTTGTATATCCTTGAATATTGCGATTGGATCGTTGATGAATAATAAGTATTAAACTTTCTCTACATGTAATGATAGTGTCTATGGCAGCTATTTGATATACTCGTCCGATTTTCATAAAATTCCATCTCTGAGTAGATGAAAACATTTAGAATAACATCGAAGCTAAAATGTTGTGATATTACTTTCTCGATCGTTCCTATGGAAACTATATGATATAGTATTTAGATTTTCATAAAATTAAAACCGAAATACTAGTGAGAGTATGTATATAGAATACAAAATGCATAGTTTTATTGAGATAGATTAAAGACTAAGGGACTAGCTTGGGAAGAAACGGACAGACGGACATCAGTCCGAACATTGCTAGATCGACTCGACTGTTGATGCTGATCAAGAATATATGTATTTACCTCATAGGGTCGTCAATGACACCAGGGGTATTAAAATTAAATAACACCTTAAGTGTTTATAATTTTGGTGATTTTAGCGAAACGTAAATCTATAAACTAATAAAAGTTAAGGGTAATATCTACCTTTCTTTAAATGAATATCCTCTGTTGTGGACAGAGGGCAGCTTCTTAAATGCGACGTAATATCATTGGATGGACTCAAAGTCTCCGGGATGACAGTTGTTGATCGTGATTCTGCCGTAGTATAGGCTAAGCTTGATGGCGATGTAATGGCTATTTCACTGCCACTGACCAATGAACTGGGAAACCAAGATCCTGCCGAAGAATAGTGTCTTGGAGGCCAGCTCTGTTGCTGTTGTGGTTGTGGGTTATGATGCACCTGCATCTGGTTATGGTGATGATAATGGCTGCTTGGCACTTGTTCCACAGCTGAAGATGAAGTTGTAGCGATGCCGTCAGCATCCAAGGATGGTCCAGTTGTCTGCTGCTGGGTGTTTAACAGGCGTAACTTCTCGTAGATGGACTCCTGCTCGCTGCCCTCGCCTGAATTACTGGCTCTGCCGCTTTCCGATGAATTTAAGGGTGTTGAAGTCTGCACCAGATCTGTGACGTTGCCGATGTTACTATTTGTTTTTGTGCTTTGTCCGGAGTTGCTGTTGTTTGAAGAGCTACTTGCTCCAGTGTTTTGTTGTTCCTTTTGTGCTGCCAAGTTCCGTAGTACGCGGTTTATTGATGAAACCTGTAGTATACATATGGAGTAGGGATTTTCTAATTTTAGTTTTAAATCAACATCTATCTCCTCTTTATAATATTCCATTAGGCGATATCTTTTAGCTTGGTATATTTACAATTTATTATAATTTTAAAGGAATGATTTGCCTGCGCTTGGCATTCCTTTTCAAACTAAAATTCAAAAGAAAATATAGAGCGAATAAAAGAAATGTATAAATGAACGAGCGAATGAAAAGGAAAGAACAACAGGAACAAAAGTGCAGTTGAGTGGAAAAATTAGGTAGAAAGAATGTCCTTACCGGGGGTTCAAACTCATTTTACGAAATAAAAACTGAGCTCCGTCGTTATATATGTATACTGGCTTTCCATAATCATTTTACACGTCCAACCACTATTAAAACCGAAATTTTAAGGGATAACAAGTAGCAACTCCAGAAACTATTTGACTTAAACGACAACTATCGAATGCCTTAACATTTCCGTTTTAACCTTCTTCCTTTACCTTCTCTTCTCACCCCCAAAAAATGTAAGTACGAGAATTTTTAGGGCTCAAAACGTTATTTAGCAAAGCCGTTTTCCCCCCTTATATTGACGCGTGAATTTCAACGCTTAACGTTTTGTGGTGGCGGCGCTCGGCGGGGCCGTATTTATTTAATATTGTATTTTTTCCATACAATTTTTGCAAGCACTGATTTCCCTTTTCTGTCGCTTAATGTGCATAAAAGATTTTCCCTTCCATTTGAATGAACACATTTTCCACACAACTGTCAATGAGAAAGAAAAAAATATAAGGCAAGTAGTCGTTAGGCAGGACAACGGATGGCCATCGGCTGGAGAATAGGCTGTCACAATTCATTTGGCTTGCTCCTTTTAAATATATAATATAAAAAAGATAGAATACATAAAATGGCGAAAAGCTATGGCGCAATGGAGGGATATTAAAAAAAAGAAATTAAAGACATTCGCTTTTGCCTAGGGAAATTCTCTTTGAGTACTTAAAACATAGGTATTTGGAACCAAATATAATAAGAAAACAATAAAGGAAACTAAATTCGGCACGTCGAATTTTATAATTAAAACCCCTTCCTTACCGGAGAGATAGTAAACATCAAACAAACCCAATTTTTAACGAGGCGGGATAAAAGTGACAGTGGAGCATTCAACTCCAAACATTTGTGTACTCTAACAGGGTAATTTTAGCCAGAAGTTTGCAACGTAGCGAAGCATACATTAAGTGGATCAGCATCAAAAGCCGAGTCGATCTTGCTATGTCCGCCTGTCCGTCTGTCCGTCTGTCAGATTATACGCAAACTAGTCCCATCAATTTTAAAGCTACCTGAAAGAAACTTTGCAGTTGGTCTACTCTCTTTCACATATAGTACAAGTCAAAACGTGCAGGATCGTAAGACTATATCATAAACCTACCTTGGGAACAATCGGAAAATGTTTGGAAAAAAAATTATACCTTTAAAAGTTGTCTACTTAATTTCATTTCGGAGTAGATACAAATATTTTGAAAAAGCATCGAAATTTCAATGTTTTTATGTACTAATTTCTCGATGACAAACTTAGTAGTTCTAGTTTCATAAAAGTTAAATCGAAATTCAAGAATAATATAAAAGGGCTATATCTTAAATTTGATAAAATTCGGTTGAAAACTGAAAAAATTATAATTATGGCAGCGGCTATATTATATTCGATATATTTCGACATATATACGAGTGAGAGTATATAAAAGACTAACTGCAAAGTTTAATTCAGATAGCTTCTAAACAGAGAGACTAGCTTGCGTAGACAGACATGACTAGATCGAATCGGCTTTTGATGCTGATCAGGATGTACATATGTATATATGTATGTACCTTATATGGTCCGATATGACTAAAATTATAATACCCTGCAAGAGTATAAAAAGTTACAAATAATTGAACAATATACAGTCGAATCCCGATAATTCGTACCCCACTAAATCGAAAATCGCTATAATTCGTAAAAAATTCTGTCCCCTTGAAAAAAACTCGTTAATTCGTAAAAATTCCATACATTTTGGTCCCCTCGTTAATTCGTAGTATTTGGCGCAACGCAAAGAATATTGAACCTCTTATAAATCGTAATTTTGTTTCGAAACCTCTTATAAATCGTAATGCGATGCGAAATATTTTGTAGTTAAAGCGACGTTAGATTTTGCAGGCATCAGAACGGAGAAGAAATGTTATATAATTTACAAACCAGAGCATTAATTCCTCAACTTAAACATTATTTTTTGACTCATGATGTGCCAAATAGTGTGTTTGACAACCTAATAGGTTTAGAAAACGAAATGGAAAAAATAAAAGAAAAAAAACACGAAGCAATCAAAAATTAGCAATTATTTTAAAGCTTGAATTTTCGTTTTTAATAATTTAAAATGAATGTACATATTTATTATGTTTGTTTAATTTTAATAAAGCTAAATACATATGTAAACATGATGTGAAATGTAAGTACCCCGTCTATTCGACTCTTTCATTTTTGACCCCCTTTAAATAGAAATCTCGATAAATCGAATTCCCGTCTAATTCGTAAAAAAAAAGTGATTCCCTTGCCATTTCGAATTATCGGGACTCGACTGTAGTTCCATTTCGCCAATAAGCCTTAAAACCGAAGACTTCTACTAGCGTGATATTTTATAATTTATTTATATCAGCAGTATCAGCAGCAAACAGACAAAGTTTTCAATGTCTGTTGGACCAATTGCATCATTCCAAGAGCTATCAGATTCGCTTAGTGTTGAAATAAAATAAAGTTTTGGTAAATATTGATTCTCTGTTTTAATGCATACAAATGTCTTACTCGACATCTAGAAATTGCATATAGGTACATACATATGTTTGTATAAGCGTAAATAAACTAAAATAAACATTACACAAGTTATTTAAAATGGCCAGGCAACAGTGAGTATATTATTTTCTATTTAGTAACAACATCTGTTCCTACTCACACTTGGTATATTATCATTCGTGCAAACGTTCTCCTGCAGCAATCTATCACGAATTTCCCATGCAAAAATACTCGGACATTCGCGTTTATATTGGGAAATTTTACTAACAACTTCGGCGGTTGCCACTCGTGGCTTTGAGCCGCCAATAGCCCGTGGTCGTATGCTTCCGGTTTCATAGTATCTATAACAAAACGGAAATCATTTAAGTAAGACATACGCATAAAATATCGAAATATTTTAAACTACAATTTTTTGCATTTAGTGAAAGAAATCACATTTACTTCGACCTAAAATAATGAAAAGTTATAAATAACAAATAAAAAATTAATAAATTATTTAATTTCCAATTGCTTAATTTACTATTCGTAATGTATTTCCGATTCCCCAAAATAGTTAAATGAATAAAAAAATCAGAAAATAAAGCAAGACGGAGTAACATATTTTCAATATATTTAATATATTTAATAACTATGCATGTATCATAAAGAGTTCTGATCCTACCTGCCTAGAATTTTGCTTACACATCCGTTTGAGACTTGTAGTATACGCGAAATATCACATGGCCTTGCTCCCGAATGAGCCAGTTCCACTATTTTTTGTCGCGTTGAATCCGGCAATGGTCGGCCGCCAACAAAGACGCCGCCCAACTGATTTACTCCACTGTGACCTGTAAAAGAAAAACAAGAGGAATTTGAAGCATGTGCAAATCAATTCTGTTTAATTATTGATTTATGAGCAGCAAAAATTCTGCCTATAGTGGGAATAAGGCATATCATTTAGTCTGTCACGCTTTCAAAGAAATCAAAGTCCAATACTTTTGTCGAAATAAACCCCTAAAATGGAGATGTATAGAGTGCAGATTTGCGAATAGATGGTAAGGCAATAAAGTTCACCCCGATTTGTAGAAAATTAAATGCATTAAAGAAATGTATATTTGATACATTATTATTACATTATTTTTAAATGGTATCATGCAAGAGACAAGTATTATCTTATTATTATTATTATACAAATTCTAATAATAATCATATTGTATTATATATATGTACATATCATTGATTGAGCTTGAAGCCGGTAGGAAAGGAATCATAACAATAATTCTCCGAACTATGAAAATATTATGATTAAATTATGATTTTATTATTTATAAAAGTAAAAAGAAACAATATTCTTTAAAGGACCAAGCATAAAATTTGTACAAGGTTATTACCTTCGTAAACGAAATGGTATGCAAACAGATAAATTAAATTATAATTGAATAAATTCCCACTAACATGTCTAAGTTTCTCTTTTCAATACATGTACATAGACTTTTAACAGTGTATCTTTCTAACGAAGGAAGAGCACAAAAAAGAAATTCAGAAAAAAGGGCTTAAAAAAGGAAGGGGAACACTTGGAGTTCTGTTCCTAGTACGAGAGAAAGAAGAGAATGTTGGTAAGGGTTTCAAACGATTTTCCAAGTATCGGAGAAGACTTATTGAAATAAAATCCCAAAATCTGCGTATCAATTTACTGCTTTTATTGGTAAAGAAATCAGCGAAGCATCGTCAAGTGATTCTGCTTTTTGACAAGGGACTAATCCTTGTGTGCCGAGTGACTTTTTTCAGGATGGAATGCGAACGAGAGAATAGATTACTGATAAAGACAGTAAGGGACAATAATGTTTTTATATTTATCTCAAATACAAATGTCATTTCAGAGAATGTTAATTGCCTTTGATAAGATTTTGTTTAAAACCTACAAACGCGTTGCCTTGACTTTGTTTCGTTGATATATACTTATGCTTATTATCATCAATACAGTTTAAATGGGTCGGTGGATAGTAACATGAAATTTAGCTATCGTAAAGGTAGCTATGAAATCTCAAGAGTAAATCTTAAAGTTGTAAGTCAATACAGTTTATAGTCAAATACGATTTTCAAAATGACATCAGTGTAACTAAATAAACAAAAAGTGCTAAATATTTTTAACTCTGAAAAGTTTATTCATTCTCACCCCGTTCTGAATTTCCTCAAATTATTGTTTATGTTATCAAATATACACGTTAATTATCTGTTATTTCGTTTACTTGTTCAGATATATCACTCATAAATTGTTAGATACTATTCTCAAGTTATTGTAATTCGCTCCAATATAACATTATTATTATGAGGTTGAAAATGGGTCGAGATGTTCAACCCGCTACTATTTGTTGTGAAGTCTTTGCCTTTTATAAGTCACCAGAACAAAAAACGCGTAAAATAATTATATTACTCTCTCGATGTCAACTTTAATGTCAAAATGGACATGCGTAAGCCTTTTCACCCATAGGTTGTATACTCAACCATGTTTTGAACAGACTACTGACAGAAAGTGTAACCAGAAAATGAAGATGAATCGCGATGAGCGAAAAGCATACTCATCGGAATTATTTATCTATAACTTCTAAATCTGATTTCGAATTCAATAAAAATCATTTTTAGTTCATTTTTCTGACCACACTTCATATTCTCCTTTTAAATTAAAAGCGAGTTTCCCTAAAAAAAAGCTTGAATGTGTCCTTATAAAAGATAGCAAATGATTTTTGGCTGCTGGCGCAACACTGTGATGGAGTCATCCCCGATCATATACATTTTATACATATGTACATATATGCTTTACCACCAATCTATTTAAATTAATAGTTATTACTTTTCAGTTTTCAATATATTACCATACAATTTAAGATATAGCCTTTTTATATTATTCAAAACTATGTACTATGTTCGAAACTATAGTTAAATGCCGACGAAAATGCCAAAGTGCGACTACAAAACTTTAACTGTAAACTGTAAAAATAGCAAGTGTAAGTGACTGTAAGGAAAGAAGGAAATATTTGTTGGTTTTTTACACAAATATATATAATTTATATTGCTTTAACTGTTAATGATCAAAATTTAATCAGGAAAGGTATATTTATTTCTTGTTTTAACAATATTTATGAAGATCAACTTGGAGATTAACCATAAGTTTATCCAACAAAAGTATGTCCATACATTGCCTTCCTATAATATTATTTAGCATTGGATGTACAAAAATTTGCTTTCTTTCTTGTTATCTTATATATACTATCACAAACAAAAGTGCATATGTATATCATATAGCTGCCATAGGAGCGATCCATAATTTTTGTAATAAAAATTATGACTTCAGTTTTCAACATATTTTCATCTAAATTGAGATATTTTGAATTTTATACATAAGAGCAATTCTCCAGAAAGGTCCACCGCGGCCAAAATCTTAAAAGTGATTAAAAAAATTGGTCAGATTGATTTTTCATTTTCTAAAATAAATTTCGAAAAAATCGACGTTTTGACTTTTGCTTTCTAATATGACATAGAAAACCCAAAGGGTCAATATAAAATGCAAAAGGACATATGCGATTACCAATAGTCGTACAGTTTTAATTTAAATTATCGCTTTCCAAATTGTCGCGTGCGATCGGGACTAAAATTGAATTTAAAAAATAACTACTTAATATTTTAAAATCAAACAAAATACATTATTAAGATAATTAATTAAAATTGATTGTACTACAATTATTCTTCACGTTTCGGTGAAATCAGAGGTTAAATTGGTTTTTTGCAAATGTAACTTCTGTTTTTGTCGCGTGCGAATGCAGTACATTTTAGTTAATATATCGGATAAGAACAAGGGTTCAAATCGATCTTAGCACAAATTATAAAGCTAGCCAAGAGCTATACGTCTCAAATTTTGCAAAAACTAAAATAAAGTCTTGACACATGTTTTTTTATACCCTTGCAGGGTATTATAATTTCAGTCAGATGTTTGCAACGCACTGAAGAGGGCACCTCCGACTATATAAAGTATATATATTCTTGATCAGGATCAACAGCCGAGTCGATCTAGCCATGTCCGTCTGTCCTTCTGTCCGTTTCTACGCAAACTAGTCTCAGTTTTGAAGCTATCTAAATGAATCTTTGTAGTTAGTCTTCTATATACTCTCACTCGTTATATGTCGGAACGGGCCAGATCGGACGACTATATCATATAGCTGCCATAGGAATGATCGGAAAATTTTTACTTTATGTAGTCGGAGGTGCCCTCTTCACTGCGTTGCAAACTTCTGACTGAAATTATAATACCCTGCAGGGGTATAATTATAACGCTTTCAGTTTTCAGCAGATTTTCATCAAATTTGAGATATAGCCATTTTACATCAGTCTTAAGTTTTGTGTCAAATTTTATGAAAATCGGACGACTATATCATACAGGTACCATACAAAGGATCGTTAGATGTGGAGCAAAAATGCAAATCTGTGAATGTAAAACTGCAAATATAATATGTATAGGTGAATGAAATGAAAGCAGGTATGTATAATTTAAATTGTATGGATTCCTAGTCATCGAAGTTCTATCTGCAAGGGTATATAAACTTCGGCGTGACGAAGTTAGCTTTCTTTCTTGTTTAAGTTTGAATGCGTATAAATGTCGCATTCAACACCAGAGAATTGCCCATATGTAGTATTATTCTAGAATTTCAGCTTTAATTTTATAAAAATCGGGAGATTACATTTAGATCGTTTAAAATTAATATGATATGATAAAAAACAATTAAGTAATGCCTGCTTTCATTTCATTCACCTATACATATTATATTTATATTTTTACATTCAGTTTTGCACATAATTGTAGAATAATAAAAATGATTATATCTCAAATTTCATAAAATTCTGTTGAAAACTGAAAATGTTATTATATTTTATGTATCGATCGTTCCTATGGCAGCTATATTTTATAGTCGTCCGATCTGGCCCGTTCCGACATATATACGAGTGAGAGTATATAAAAGACGAAACTGGCTTGCGTAGAAACGGACAGACGGACATTTATAGATCGAGTCGGCTTTTTAAGCTAATGCAGAATGTATATTCTTAATCTCAGCCGAAAGCCAAAGCAGCTATATATGTCTCATACTCATCCTGTAGCTCAGTTTGTAATTAAGCATACAGTGTACAAATAAATAAATATTTTCAAAATATTTATCCATATTTTTTGAATATCTTTAACTAAAGACTTCTACTAACGTGTCGAAATGTTATTATTGTTATGCCACTTTTAATGGACACAATAATTGGTACCAGCCAGTTGTAGGTGTTATCGCAATCCCCTAAATGTATTTTTCTTTATTACATTATTCCCATAGATCTAAGTTAACAGGAACTGTGCGAAACAAGATTAAATTAAGTAAAAACCATTTTACAACTTTTGCCATAAGAAAAAAGAAATATTTTCGAGGGATTAATAATGTAATTGGCACACAAATCACTTTGGCAAAGGGAAAACAATCATGTTTGCAGCAATGTAACTGCTGGACCCTTTTAAAGGTCTCTCTGGTCGTTTTTGTGCGGATTGCAAGGGACCAGGGTCTGGATAGGGGTGGGTCTCCTACAGATACAAAGGACCAACACAGCGTTTGGTCGGCTCTAAAGAGGCTCATTTTGGCATTTGTAGAGTGCATTGTGTGTGTTTTGTATTTTGTGTATTTATTCGACTTCAACTCTCAATGCCAATAATTGTTACTATTTGTAACGACATGACATGGAAGCGGTCGGGTCGCCGTCAGGCCGTCGACATACACACACTTCAAGATCATTATTGAAAGGTGGAAAATGATTGTATTGATTCACAACAATAGTGCAGACGAGAGTACTTAACAGCTCGGCGAGCTGTTATTGAATAATGGGACTCGGGGTTTTCAGGGATAGCTGGTAGCAGCTACTCGTGATTATCATGGTCTTAAAAGTCGCTTGCCGAAACGAATGATCAGTTTTTCCCATTGTTTTGATAATAATTGGCAGCATGTGTGCGCGATTCCAAGTCGTCCTGCCAAGCAATTCTTATTTCCCTTACCGATCATCTCTATATTGTGTTCAGAAATGTTGAGCTACGTATATTCACACCATTGAAGAATTGGCATAAAGGAATCTTGTTTTCCACAACGAATTGTTGCAGAGATGTCTTAATTTGTAGTTTTTTCTGTCTTTGCTTTTCAAGAGGAAATTATCCAATTTTAAGTGCGACTTTTTTAAAAGACAAAGGGAAGTATCCTAAAGGTCAGTGGACTGATGGCACCTCTCTGCAAAAAATATTATTCAAATAATATTTCGGTCTATTTGATACTTAAATATATATATATATATATGTTAATGACTGGATTTACCCTTTAGTCATTATTTAGGGAAACATAGAAACCTATGAAAAAGCAGTAGTGAATGCGCAGAAAATTCCCAACAGAACTTGTTTAGGAAACATAACATTGCTTAAAAATATTCCTGGTAGATCCTGAAAATTATGCAAGTGTGGAAGGGGAAATTTACATAAGATGTATTGGGAAACGTACATTCATCGTCTGTTAAATGGTAGTAAGTTGTGGTAAAGTACGATGACGTGGAATGGGGTTGTGACGCTGTTACATTCGCTTCCACTGATTCCATTCCCATTGGTGTCTTCCCAGGAATACTGCCCAGTCCGCCGATACCATTAGCGGCATCCAAACAGGGTAGATTTCTCATTGCAATCACATTGTCTAAATGAAGAAAAAAAGAGGAAGAAAGCTCATTTCACACTGTGTTTACTGATCGGTCGTCAAGTCTCTGTGATTTTATAGATACATATATACATATTTATGCATTTAACACATAAGGTGCACAAATAGAACACCGCCGTTCAGCATTTATATATAACTAGAAAAGAAATGTTCATCCTTGGACGCGATCCATTCGACTAGCCAACTTTTGACCTCTTCGTATGACCGGAAGTGCTGTTCAGCGATGATATGCATCATTGATCGGAACAAGTGGAAATCCGAAGGAGTGGTGTCTGGAGAGTAGGGCGGGTGGGGCAGAAAGTCCCATTTCTGCGTTTCCAAGTAAGTTCTCACGACCTTGGCAACATGAGGCCAGGCGTTGTCGTGTAGGAGTATTCGGTTCGAATTTCGAAGATGGCACCACTCTGTCAAAAACGGCGGTTTTCTACTTGTACACCCAATAAAACGCCCCCCTTGGCAATCGGGATTTATTTAATTTTTTAAGTCGTGCTTTATATTTAATATTAAGCTTCCGGACCGATTCGATAACTACTTAGATACGATTTATTTAAAGGTATTTTTAGCTATCAATTTTTTTTTTCAATACCAAAAAAAGTTAAGAAAATCAGTATTGTTTTTGCTATAACAGTAAAATATGTTCCATAAAATTACAATGAAATGATAAAAGTATATGACGATTGTGCTTCTAATTGTTTGATTTCAGACCGACAGATTTACGAATGGCTAAGGCTAAGGTGCTTACCTTTGTGCGCCATATCCTCTAAGGACGGCAGACGCTCTATTAAGGCGCCTGTAGACCAATGCGGCACTACAGCTCCAATGGCCGTCGGGGTGGATTGTAAAGTAAACATAAGGAAGTTTGGGCTAAGTCACTAACTAAACTTCGCCTTCTTCAGCCTATTGAATCCCAATCTATATTGATATTGATATTATCTACTTTGTCCTTTGCTTCTTCTTCCAGGGCCTTTTGCTGTTGGATTTCGTACTGCCCGCTGGGAGAACCCTAGGTAGCGAGGCGAACCTTTAATAAAATGCAAAATGCAAATGTGCAGATGGTGTTGCCGGTGCTATTAATGATCAGAAATCCATTGTTTTCTGAGTAATAAAGAAGTCCCCAGGCATACAATCAAGGTTAGGCAGTCAATCACTTGTTCATTTTATTTTTTAAACACTTTTTAGCACATTGTTATAATTATTATCGTATGCCTTTTTCGACATATTTAATATATATTTTCCTGCCGCGATTTTATAGAATTTGTGTATATCTCGTGCACTACCGCGATCGCGACAAGTCACAGGATACAACGATGGCGGTGGAGAAACTGTAATTTATTTAGAGTATGCGAGCAATAAGAATTTTCCGGACATAGCCTGCCTGCGCCACGGTGCCGACTAGGCCGACCCTTCGAATGCCATCGACGGAATCATGGAATTCTTTTTGTTGTTGAAACAGGGTGGAATGTGATTGGCTGAGCCTGGGATACTGGCTAAAGCACCACCATTTGCCACGGGAAAGTGCTCTGGTTGGCTGGCTGTTGGCCACAACAGTTGTCGCACTCGCACTTACCTCCATATACATTAAAAATAAAGGTAGAAGAGCACATAAAATACTGCAATTCTTACTAAAAAAGGAATCAGTTTGAAATAAAAGAAAGGCAGGAACAGGCACACAAATACTCACAACAGGGCTTGCACATTTTATGATTAAACATATGTTAAAAGATGAATTTCGTTTAGTCTTTAAGTTTAGCCTGTCCCCTACTAAAGCCTTCATTTCATTTAAATTGAAGTATTTCGAGGTAATCAGGGCCAGTCACTATCTAATAGAATTCTTTCATTCCGATACACAATAACGCGCTCGTACATTTCCGGTTCCCGTTAACTACCCGCAGCGTTTCCGCTGTAAAACGAGTGGCACTTACACCTTACAAACAATGCGTGGGCGTAACGTACCAAATGTTAAGCGCAAAATGTCGACAAGCCTAAACACGAACAGTTACACCCACATGTGGAGGCTTCTGAATCTTCGTAAGGATTGCGTCCTGCTTTGGCCTTTAACCAATCATCTATGCTGCGTCCTGCGTGTTCGAAAGGGACGGCAAATAAGAGGCGTACGTTCGTTTTTTATGCCATACAATGCTTTACAGGCATTCTTTCCTACAAACACAAGAGGACAACGCGCAACGTAACTGCAGGCGAGCGATAATATATTTAAAGGTAATATGCACAAAAAATATTTGTTTTCGATTGTGGAAACAAAAGTTACACAATATTATAAACAATATTATTACACAAAGCATAACACAATTCCTTTACAAAATACAATAGTCCAACAAATCAAGTGAATAAGTAATTTTTATATATAATTTTCAACTTTCAATATGCAATCTATGCCTATGCTTCGGACAAGCCTACATTTATATATATACCTACATTTGTATGTACTTATACATAAAGCACTTTTTATTGTTAATATTATATATATATTTTACTGTAATATATTTTTGTTTTGATTAAGTTATGTCAATTTTCGCATTTTTATCTGGCAACTGAATCTGGCCCGTTCCGACTTAAATTCTACAGAAAATACCCTTGCGCGGTGTTATAATTGTAGTCAAAAATCCAAAACGCAGTGAAAGAGGCATTTCCAACCCTATAAAGTATATAAATACATAAATATAATATGTATATTTTTCGTAAACTAGTCTCAGAGTTTTAAAGCTATTTGGTTGAAATTTTGCAGATAGTCTTCTATATTTTCTCACTAGTGTAAAAGTCGGAACGGGCCGGATCGGACGAATATATCATATAGCTGCCATAAAAACGATAAAAAACGGACATGTTCAATAATTGTAAAATAACGGTTTTATTTTGATGATAATCGAAATATTAATACATATACATATGTATTTCGCTACCATAGAAGCGTTCCGGAAAGTAATTCAAAAATATAACTTCAATTAAAATATTTTTATTTTCTCTGAGAATTATCCTCATTTTATTATTTCAGAATTTGAGTTTTATTTTTATGCAAATCGGATGCCATACAATGCTGGCATATAAACAAAACTGTGAATGTAAACCGAAAACTGTAAAACCGTAAATGCAATATGTGTAAGTAAATCTTAAAACAAAATTTGTATGGTATTTATAAATGATTTACATAATTCCTGTAAGTTTCTTTTAATTAGTTAATCTAATTAACTAGTTAATTTAATGTAAGCTGCCGAAGTTAGCTATATTTCATTCTTGGTATTGCCAGTAGCAGAGACAGAAGGAAATAGCTTTCTTGACCATCTCTCATTGTTAAAATCGAAGTCGACTTATTTCAACAGCTGCCTGACAGATCACATAATATTATTTTAAAGTCAATAGTTATAATCGGTGTTATTACATACATAGAAACAAATAATTGACATATCTCCCTTTTAGTTTCTCTCCATTTGCAAACTAAAAGGGAATTGAAAGTTCTGCGAACTTAGCTTGCTTTCTTGTTTAACTTATTGATGAATTTGAATTTTGTAATGACTCAGAAGTGCACTACTACTTCAAGTGCTAGCAAAACAAATCTAACCTAAATTTGATTTGAAATAAATTAAATTTTATTATCCTTGCAAGTATTATAATTTCAGTCAGAAATTGCAACGCAGTGAAAGAGTCACCTCCGACCATATTACGTTTTCTTTTTCTTTGTCAGCATCAGCATTTTAATTTTCAACAGATTTTTATCAAGTTTAAGATATAGCTCTATTCTAGAATTATTCTAGAATTTCGATTTTAATGTTATAAAAACCGGACGACTATATCATAGATCGTTAGATATAGAGGACAATGTAGAACTGAATGTTAAAGCGGCATTTTCAGGATGGCGAACGGTACATTCGTACGACGTAAAATGAAAAAAAAGAAAAAAAAAAAAAAAAAAAAAAAAAAAAATATCATTTTCGGAAGTTTTTCTTTTCACGACTAATACATTTTACCAGTATTATTTGTATACAAAAAAAGAAAGCTTTGCCAACTTAACGTTTTGTAATTAATTTTAGAAAACACTGCATCGCGAACGCTACAAAATATATTAGTCTTATTTGACTTCATCTTCAAAAAAATTGTGAAAGTCTACCATTAAAACAATGTAGCTTTTCATTTATATAAGTAATATTTTTTTATAAGTATTACTTTATTTGTTTTACAAGCTTATTCCCGATTAAGAACGGTACATCGCGAACGCTGCAATATTTCCATTAGGATTTTTTGCTTATGTTAATGATTGTTTAATTAGATTAATAACTTCAATACGTAAAAAAATAATAGAAATAAAAGTAAAAGGGGCCACATGTTTTTTAAAGAAAATATATTTTTGGTAAATACTGAAGAATATTTTTTCTATGTAAATGCTTTTTAACACGCTTTTATTAGTTCGGGATGCATATAACGGAATCTTTGAACACTATTTTTAAGGGTTTCCAAATATCTGATAAACTTGAAACTTTGCATACTTCTCAAGGACCGATGACAATGCAATAATTTGATACAAATTTTTCATTATCCTGATTAGGAGTAAGAGAGACAGAGTTCGTAAGATATTTCAGAACTACATGTCCGCAAAAATTGATTATTGATAAATCGAACTAAAAAAACGAAAAATAACTGATAGCTTAGAAACACGCGTTTATAGGTACCCACACTAAAAAATACAAAATAAATAATAGTTAAAAAAAAACTAAGAAAAACACGCTTTTGTAAATAACCGAACTAAAAAGAAGAGAATAATTTATAATTACAAACGAAATTATTAAATTCAGAGCTATAGTATATAATTCTAAACAAGATCACTAAATTCAGAGTTAAAAGCGTGCGGTGCATCTATAATCAATGTTACAATTATTCTAAGGGCAACTATCTGTAAGGGGAGGATTATGAAAATATTGAAAAATGCCTCGCCAAGTACATGTTCAACTATTGATACAAACAATGTATTTCTGTGAACCTAAAATATAAAAGAAAATATTTACAAAAAATTATTAGATTCACAAAAACAGTGCAGCTGTAGAATATATCGTCACGTATGTATTTAAACGTTGTGCTTAGTGACAGTATATCAGTCAAATGACCAATTCACAGCATATATCTCTTTATAGTTTCTTTTTCTTTTATTGTTGGTAAAAATATGTGTAAACAAGAATTACATCGAAAAAACTAATATGTATGTAATATAGTACCTGTGAGTTTCGGTTCAATTATTTCAAAATGAAAGAAAAGTATGCCGTAAATTGATTATATTCTGCCAATTTAAACTTTCTTTATCAATTTACATTAAAATAACACAAGTTAATAGACATTTATTTTTGGCATCCTGGTAACCTTTTTCTGGAAATGCCCATAGGTGGATAAAATGAAAGCGCCATTACTTCTTTGTATTTTAACATGAATATATATAATGGTTATTGTATCCGATACAACATGATGTACGAAAGCATTATATGTTATACAACCATTCATCTGGATATTTGGAAGATATATGAAATTAATAATTTATGCTAGAATGATCTAAGTACTAAGGTGTCAAGTACCTTAAAATATTGTGTAGCAATGTTTATAATACAACTGCAATACGAGTAAGATTGTAGCACACTCAAACAATATTAATATACCCAGATTACACATCTCAAATATTTAACTCGAGGTGGAGGAATGTTTTATTAGCAACAATGCTGTGTAGCACGGATGGAACGGAGTCGCCCTTGCAGGAAATTAAAGTGCGTCCTGCAATCATCATATTATGTTCGCACTAGTGCCGAAGCTGGAACATAGAGCTTAGGCCATATCGCAAGCTATCCGCCACGTGCCACGTGCCGAGAGGCGGCCGTTGTGCTGCGGGAAAAGTACTGCAAGCTTTTTCGCTACGGCTTACTACAACAGCTGCATATAGATTAAAAATGTGAAACATCGGATCTATAAAGAGCGCTTTTGTAACTCTTAAGATATAAGATACGTTACACTAGTTTTTAGGACGCACTAATTATCTACTAATTATCAAACTATCTATTTAAACTAATGTTAAATAATTAGTACAGTTTCGTAATTTTTTATCGAGAGCCTATTTATGTATGTATTCATATATATAATGATATACATACATAAAACCCTACCACTCTTTCAGTAGGATTAATACAAAAAAAATTGTATTTTATAACCCATTAAACAATATACATATGGCTTGGGAGAAGGCGGCGTTCTTATCTCTCCTATTTCAAACATAGCGCACTTGTTTTTGGCTTGAAAAATAAGTATTTTCGTCATATAGCTACCCAAGTGCCAAGGTCCTTTCTGACTCCTTTTTCCCCTCAAATAATTCCGTTGCGCCGTGTGAAGTCTTGCGGACTGGCGATAAGAAGAAAGGACGACGCTTTTTGTATATCAGCAGGCACAACAGCCGCAGTATACCAAGTGGTCCACCAGTGGCCCAAGTGTACAGCACAGCTGAGATGGATGTTTGTAGCCACATCTGGAACTGAACTTTTTATGTCTTAGAGCTCTTACTGGGGAGGCAGGTAGTCGTGACGGGAGTGAAGTTCTGGTGGTGAGGCGTTTAATCCTAGGATCTTTAACGCCTAAACGCTTCGAAGATTTGTATATATATTATGTAAAATGTAGTTTTCTGGGGCTTAGGTTTGAAAATATGTGAATTTTAACCCGAAGCTATCTGCTTTAAATAGCTGTTTGTACAACCCAACAAATAGTTGACATTCAGGCATTTACCTGAGTTCATTTAATTTTCTGAGCCGTCTGTCTTGCCTCTTTTCTTACGAAGTCTTTAAGTCTTGGCTTGGCAAATGCTTCAAATGTATGCATGTTCTCAATTCATTCAATAAAACAAGGTTTTAATTATTGTAAACTTAGCATATTGTTATTATTAAAAACATGAAGAATATACTGCCAGCAATCCTTTCAGAGCGCAGCATGGTTTCTTTTAATTATGGATGGATGTCACCCTTTTCCAGTATACATCCCTTTTACCTCTTCCCTTACTCTTCCCTTCCATATAGAACGTTTAGGGTGTAGCCGCTTGAAGTACGTACTTTATGGATTGTTTTCTATACACCTTCGAAGAGAGTAAGTAGTGCAATTTAGTCGGAAGGTGGTTCCGTGGCAAAGGTATATGAATTTATTCTGAATCCCCAGGCCAGAGCTATCTGGTCTATCCGTAAGTTCCTGCGCTATCAGAAATTAACTGCCCATTAGCGAATACTAAGGAGATCAAAAAATATAATGCAGTATAATTTGCAGAATTGCTTTAAAATTAATACGAAAATTACAAAGAAAATAAATAAATTTGCGTAGGTATTAAATTGTCGGTAAGCTCTCCATCCTGCCAAGTGATAATCTCGTCAGAGAAAGCAGGAACTCCTGCGCGCCAACGTAGGTGGTCCTCTCTGAGCTGGGCGTTTGCTGGGAGGTGCGTCCTCGGTATGGTTCAAAATAATTGAAGCATGTCGTCAATGGATGTGGGATTCATCTCTCTTCAAATGAAGGGCCGCAAGTCCCCCGTGGACACGCCACACATCTCTGCGCAGTGTGGGTGCTTCCCCTTTTCCCCAAAAAGGATTTTCCTGTTGTTTATATTTGGTTGGCTGGCAAAATTCTTGGTTGGCTGGTTCTGGTCATCGGTGGTCCGTGAGGCAGTCGGTGCGGTGCTTTAATTGTTTAATGGCTCGTTATTTAAATTCCCTTGAGGGGCGTAGGACGGCAACTGTGCCAACTGCTTTTCAAGTGTGATAATTATAACGATTTATTATGGATTAGGTGGATTTCGTGTGTGAAAGTATACTGAGTAATTATATTATATTATTATTTTAGACAAAATAAGATTGAATTCTGTGTCCCAAGTGCAATTAGCTTAAAAACGAACACCTATGTTTATTTGAATATACATGTTGAAATTTTAAAGATTAGGAAATCCGAAGTTTGTATTTGCTATTGGATGCTATTTTGAATCAATATACTTAAATTCGCTGCTATGACAGCTAAATAAAATAATTAAAACACGTAAAACCTATGACTCGTTGGGAACGTTTTTGAAAATATATGTCTGTACTTCGCATTATAGTATTTTTCAATTATTTCCAATGCCAATTTTTTTTAATGTGATGCAATGTTTTCCCAAATGATTTAAAAACAAAATCAATATTGGGCTAAGGGCTAAGATAAGTGAGCGGCACTTGCCACCACTTTTATTTTGGCAAAATTTGATTCTAATCCGCAGATAATATTTTCAAGAATTTTTCATTTCGCTTTGTTGAGTTTAATGCGATTTAATCTCATGCCTTCTGTATATTAAATGGTATTTGCATGCCGATTAAAAAGAAACAAGAAAGGAATCCGGCGTTTGTATATCCTTGCATTTTAATATCGTCATTTGCAATCGAATCACTTTGAAAATAAGGGAAGGAAGCATCAGAACGGCGAGTTTGTATACCCTTGGACATTTCAATTAGACCCTTACATAACATATCTAATACTAATTTACACTGTACATATGTATGTCCATATTGTTCATATTGATGTTGAAAAACAAAAAAGTAATGTCAGCACTCATTACATTCACCTATTTAATTATTTACGGTTTTAAATTTTCATTACACGAAAATATTTTCAAAAACAGTGAAGTTCAAATTTTTCCTATTAATAGCTAATTGTTTTTATGGTAGCCCGACAGTATTTCGATCGTAGTTCCAATAAGTGGAATGTGTAGTACCAATAACAACTCCGAGTTATGGCAATAAGATATTTAAAGGGAACAATTGATATGAAACTAATTTTTAAATGAAATGCAACTTGAAAATGCATTAATTATAAATAAATAATGAAATAATGAGATTAATAGAAAAACAAGAAAGGAAGCTAACTTCGGCTCGCCGAAGTTTATATTAAAAATTAATATCAAGAATTTTATGGGGTCCGAAAATGATTTCATCACTGCAAACTCTTGCCAAAAATAAAATAACATAGAAGCAATAACCAATTATATTTATATATATTTTTTATGAAGCGATCGAATAGTATTTTAGATCTTTTAAGCTACTTACTACGATATTTAAAAGCGGATTACTTCAAAAGAAATATGAGTACATTTTTAAATTTTAACGATTCGAAAGTAATAACTTTTGGGCAGATGGAAAAAGAATTGTTCAAATTTCTGTATTGTAGAGTTTTGAGTTAAAGGCGTCACCGACAGTTTTATCTCGCTTCGTTAAAGACTGTTTTCTTTGATAATGGGTTATTTAAAATACAACCAATATATATTATATATAAATATATAGAAAAATAGTTTTGAGAAAAAACGAGAAATTCCGGCGCCTGAAACTGAATTTGAAAATGAGCCATGAGAGGCCGTCGGAAACTTTTAGCTCTTTGTTATTCCCTTGCAATACTTTAATTCTTTTCTTTGTTTCTCACAGCGTGCAACAACAAAAAAAGTCAGCATGGGCAAACTTAACTTTAAAAACCTCTTCGATCTTTAAGATCTTAATAACGATCAACCCCTGGAAGCCAAGGAAGAAGAATGGCAGGCAGGCATGTCAGCTATCGATTCGTGTGAAAACATGCAATTATGGTTTTATTTGTACTTATTTATTGTGACTTCTGCATTTATTTTGGTTTTTGTTTTGATTTCCTGCACTCACATAGTGTGTGAAGCGCTGCTGCTGGTTAAAAATATTTTCAAGCTATTTAAACTGAAAAAAAGAAACAACCATATAGTTTTTCGGTCATTGAATCTTATCCAGATATTTGAACCTAATCAATCAGGTAAAAATCGAACCTCCGAATCAGATTCAGCGAATTATTTAAGCTTAAAAATTTAGTTTTGGGTTTAAACGGTCCCCAAAAAATCCTATGGCGGATTAAGTGGGTTTCATTGATAGATGGCGCTTAAACGGATTTCCATGCCTTGAGCTTGCGGGCGCCACCTATAAGTGAGAGAATAAATGTAACTAGACTCGCGTCTCATGTCTGATGTCAAAAATACAATTTTTATATTCTGTAATGTTTGTTATTTCTTAACAGCTTATGAGCTTTCTGCTTTCATACTTATATTACGTGAAGCTTTTGCATGTATAAACCTATTTGTCCGCATAATTTACTCGACTTAAATGTCAAATGTAAGCAACACTGTTATTTTATGTCAAAACTTAAATACCCATACCCTTGCAGGGATTTATTGTTTTACGTTCAGGGGATTCCCTATACGTCTGAATGACTAAAAATATCGGCGATGTATAGCAATGCCTAAGCGATATTTTAAGCCGGGTGGGTAACGACCCAGAAAAATCTGTGACTGAATTGTTTTTGTTTCAAGTTTTTAATAAAAAAAAAAAACAAACAAGAAAACGAAATTATTATTGCTTATATTAACTGATTGTAAGTACAAGTAAGAAATTTTCTTAATCGATTATACTAAATTAAAGTTAAATTTGTGGTCCAATTAAAACCGCTTGCAAATCGGAAGATGCTTGGAACAACAATTCCTTTTAATGGTTTAATTATTATGTTACAATTTTCTGAAAAATATTACCATTCCTAAAAAATTTTAAATTTAATTAGTCTTCAGTCATTTAGTAACAGTCTTATAAATTATATACATACTCCTCGGCCCAAAAAGCTCCAATATTCAAAATGTTTATTTTATTTTTATAGCCATGCAGGGTATTATAATTTCAGTCAGAAGTTTGCGACGCACTGAAGGAGTATACATACATATATATTCTTGATCAGCATCAACTGTCGAGAAGATCTAGCTAGCCATTACCGTCTGTCCGTTTCTACGAAAACTAGTCTCTCAGTTTGAATTTGTTGTTGTTTTTAGTTGTTAGTACTCTCACTCGTATATATGGAATGGGCCGGATCGGACGACTATATCATATAGTTGCCATAAGAACGATCGGAATTATAACATTTTTAGTTTTTAACACAAGTGTATCAAATTTAAGATATAGCCATTTTAAATATTCTAATTTTTGTATACAATTTTATGAATATCGGACTTCTATATCATATAGCTGCGATAGGAACGATCGAGAAATAAATTTTTGCAATTTTCAACAGATTTTCATCAAATTTGAGTGATAGCCCTTTTTTGCTGTTCTAAAATTTGGATTTTAGTTTTATGTAAATCGGACGACTATATCATATAGATGCCATACAAACGATCGTTAAATATAGTAGGCATTGCTTTACTGTTTTTAACATAAATATATATAATTTATATTGTATTAATTCATAGTGATCGGAGTTCTATCTGCAAGGATATACAAACTTCGGCGTTCCGAAGTTAGCTTCCTTTCTTGTTTTATTCTATTGTAGTCTTATCTTATCTTAGTTATAAAATTAATCCCAAATTTCTAAAGCAATACAAAATGTCTATATTTCACATTGGATAAAAATAACTAGATTTTTTTCATACAAGTTTTCCAATCTTACCTATAAAAGCTACATATGTATATGATTTAGTCGTCCGATCCGGCCTTTTCCGACTTATATACAAGTGAAAGTAAAGTGCAAAATTGCATTTATATAGATTTAAGCCTAAGGTTCTAGCTTGTAATAACGGACAATAAAAGCAGACTAAGAATATTAAATATATTATTGGTTTTCAACATAAACAAAAAAAGGTACATTTGTTAACTTTCAGGTAGTGCTAAACAAATAATAATAATATGTACATTGATAAACATAATAAAAAAAAAACATTTTGCTTGGTTTTGACGTGTACTGGTAAATCGGTTCCTGCCTAAAGTCAAACAAAAAAATACTGAAAAAACCTGAAGCCGGTGAAAGCAGGATTCACTTTCGTGGATCTTTCCTGGAACAGAATCAATTTTCATGTTTAAAAATCTGAAAAAAATCAAACACAACTCAGGGTAAAGCAAACCAAAAAACTAAGGGATAGCTGCAGCACGCAAATGCTTTGTAGCGTTAAAACATTGAATCGGTTTATGCTTATTGTATTTATCTCCGGGCATGCACAATCGCAGAAGATACAAAATCAAGGGATTATAGTCCAGAAATGCATAATCTATTGAAAATTCCTTTGATATAGGCTTATTTTTAACTACTGTTGATAAAACAATTCAAATTTTGTTTTGAGCAAATCAAGAAAAATAAAGCTTAAAACAATATGTATTTTTTCATTGTTTTCATGGAAAAACTAGATTTGTTTACTTTAATGGGTAGGCACATCACATTGTCAAATACTTATATAAATTTTACTACAATTTCCAGTCAAATGCCTTTTAAATTATTCGATTATCTTATTTAGTTTAAGGAGTATGATTTTAATGAGATTTTTTAGGAAAATGCGATATTCTGCGACGCTTATAATTCCTAAAGATTTATAAATGAGATGTAGGGTAAGATATCAAATATTATCGATACATAGGAAGCGGTCTGATGATTTGAAACGATCATAGCTACAGATGCCACCTTTTAAGTTATTTTCGTATAATTAACTATTGAATAGCAACCTGCAATCTTTTTTGTTTAATGTTTCACCTAGAGGTGTCTATATTTTCAGTAATGGGCGACTATACTTAATATCAGAATAGTATTGACGTACATATGTACGATGTTCATATATTTGTGTATACCTTATACAGACGTCGGCGTCCCAAAATTTCCAAAGTAATTAGTTTATCATGTATAATTTGCAATGCCTTGGAAAACTACGTATGTTTAAAGGTTATGGCTAACCCATATTACCTGACTAAGTAGTGGGTATTATAAATAAAACTAGATCGCGTCTGCGCCTTGAAAGCCAATGTTTGCCTGGCTGGCTGCCTTTAGGTCTTGTTCTTGGTGCCGCTGATGCCAAGAGCACTAGTAATAGACAAAAGCTCGTGGAGTTTGCTTCGTTTTCGCAGAAGAACAAATAAATTCGGTGCTGCGCTCGGAACTGTGTTATCTGTAGCCTAGTTGTATGTACAAAATATATGCAAAGACCTTACAAATAGTATTCAATTCATCTTTCGAAGATATGTAATATGCAATGAATAAGACAGTTCGATCGGTTTAAAGTTGATCTCTTTTTTATTGGTATAATAGTATATAGACTTATGTGCTGACTTGCAAGACCAGTAAAGACTCATAGTTATTTTTAAATAAGCTTGCTCATTCTCATATGGATAGGTGTACCTGTACTAAGAGACATGTGCACATGAAATGTAAAACTTAACTAAAGGAAAAATTAAAAAACAAAAAAGATACGTGATGTGAAATGAAAACAATTATATTCCTTATGGCCATGCTGATAATTTCCAATTTGAGTTCAGTATTTTCACAGCCCCTAGTAACAGCCTTAATAAGTGAAATGACAAAAAGAATTAAGATAAAATTAAAGGAGAAATTAAGAAAAATGTATTAACAATAATACATTGCGTTACTTTACATATAAAATATATATTGGATCTTCTTAGAAGAAGTTGTGTAACATGTTGTATTTTCATAAACATAAAAATAGACTTAACAGGCTATCAAGAAAAGTCCCAAAAAACAAAAAAACGGAATGGTGATGTGATGTGTATATAATTATTTTAAAATTTGTGAATTCTTGGATTTTAACGCTGAAATAGCATAACTTTAACTATCAATTTTTCTACAACTTTATCTTCATTATTTTTCGTTTCACTTCAAATCAGCGAAATCTTTGTACTTAATATGTATGTATGTATATACGGATATATTTATAAATAAAATTATAGATGTGAGTAGTATTTTCGGTATTTTCTGTATGTACAACACACAGCTGGTGCGCGGTGACTGCGAACTAAAAATAAACATGCAATATATACGAAAATTTCTTCGTTTATTCAGTAAAAATGTATTTTCCATTAACAACATTCATTTATGCTAAAAATGAGGAGGAGGAAAAGGCAGCGATCAAATTTCCATTTTATATTGCTGGTGGGTTCGTGTGCAGCACTCGTAACTTCTGGTTAGAACATAGTGTTAATAGTTTTTATATATTTTAGTTTGCATTTGTGTAAAATGTATACAATTTTGCATTTAAAAATTTTTAAAACATAGTTTTAAATAATATGAAAAATAATTATATGCGCTTTAAAATTACCGAAACATTTGTATTTCGTTTTATAAATACAAGTCCAGTTACGATCACGCAGAAATGTAACCAGTATCTATTTATCTTCCCAAGCAGCACCACTATTTATTTATGTATATCTTTTATGTAAACTAGAAAGAAGGAAATATTTTCTCCTAATTCACATTTAAGGTGCAAAACGTGTGAAATAGCTAAGAAAAAAACCCAGATAGACGTCACATTTTTATATCATCATCATCACCATCATCATTTGTAACTCTAGTAATGAAAATAACTGTAAATCTATATATATTATATTCCATTTCAATAGCTCGTTTGCTAATACTAATAATTTTTTATAGACCAAAATAGAGCCATAACCGTTGAAGACGAAGCTTAAGGATATACCCTCAGCATGGGGGTGGCTGAAGATTTCGCTCCCAGCTTTGTTAAGAAGCCACAACTGCATCAGGAGGATGATGGCAATCGATTAATATTTGAATGTCAGCTATTGTCATCGCCGAAACCGGATATTGAATGGTTTCGAAGCGATGCTAAGCTCGAACAGGATGGCCGAACCAAATTTAAAATACAGCCCGTCGACGACAATAAATATACTGTAATATTAGAGCTCGATGATGTGGTTGAAACCGATGCCGGTCTTTATAAAGTGAAAGCGAAAAATAAGTCTGGTGAAGTTTCAGCTTCGATTAATTTAAATTTCACACGTAAGTACGAGCTTTTTATTTTATATACATATACAAAAATACATATCTTGTAAGGTGAAATTTTATTTAAAAAAAAGTAAAATAAGGAAAATAATTTTAATTGGAAAATGGTGTACAAAAAAAAAATAAACTAAAAAAAATAGGAAATATAGTTTCCTGTTAACTTTCGATAAACAACGACCTAGTTTTACATCCAAGCTTCTTATAGTTGTTATTCTTGTTCTTTGTTGACCAAGGACTATGCACAGTTATCTTTCGCATTCCTTTTCGGCCTGCTTTTTACGCTATAAAATTTTATATAAATTTTCAAGGAAATTGGTCGCTAACAACAAGGACAACTAAAAGAAGTTGGCATGTGCAAACAATCCTTAATTGTGTAAAGCTTTGACTACTTCTTATTGTGTATCTTTCACTTTTAAGATTTTAAATCCTTAAATACAGAGTTTTTGGGATTATTTTATCATTATAACTTTTTCTTCTAGAATTTAATACCGAATAGTACTTAAACGTAAATATACAGAAATCCCATACATTGCTTAAAATATTCTTCTTCATTTTTAAAGAATCTTCTTTTATATCTGTTTAACCTAACCTAAAATTTTTCACTTCATAATTAAGATCAATATTCATATAATTTATATTCGATGAAACGAGTCTTACGAATGACTACTGTAGTCCTATCCAGAAAATGATAATGGTTGTGTTCAGCAGAACAACATGATCACTGATCAGTGATGAATTTCTATAGATAGTTCTAATGAAAGCGTATGATCACTAGTCATGACGCAATATTTCATCCAACGTGATCAGCAAAAAATGTAACAAAAAAAATAGAATGATACCTTTTCGCGTTACTGATGGATTTTATCAATGGTTAAAATATCGATAGGGGAAAAACTAAAAATACGCATGCAAAGAAGAAAAAAAAACATCCTAAATCACTAATTACTGATCCATTACTGGATTGGTGACCATGTTGTTTTGGATACATATGTATATTGTTGAAGGAGTTGTTTTACTGATAATCAGCCGATAGTTCTTTGGTGCAATTTTTAGGCTTTCACTACGAAAATGTGAACAAAGATGGCAAGGAACGAACGAAATGTGTAATTTATTAAAATGTATTATTAAAATGAGCCGAACTAATTCCAGATAGTTGACTAACGAAAACGTTAAGAGAAAATAAGTAAAAGAAGAATTGGACTTATTGTCTTTATAAGATTGATGTCAGCTTAAGACTGAATCCGCGTGTTAAAAATCTTTTTTTTATGACCTTTTTTCTATACTTTTTGTAGCGAGATCACCTGCTTGTGATATTGATTATATACATATGTGCATAATTTGAGATTGAGAACGCCACTCAGGGACCGCCACTTATGACGCTATGACACAGCAACAGATTTTCCATTATTCACTTCATTAGTATCTTGAATGAGGCATCTATATACATATGTATATATAATATTTTGCATTGCGCCTAGAGTCACACCAATTTAAGAAAGGTAAAGTACGCCGTACAGTATTCCCTGACCAGAGGTTTTCCCTTAGATTTTTGGGTTTTTTGCCGGTCTAGGGGCAATTTTATGGGCGAAAAATTTATAGGCGGAAAGCTAAAGGTCTTTTAATACCCTTGTAGGGTATTATAATTTCAGTCAGAAGTTTGCAACGCAGTGAAGGAGTCACCTACGACCATAGAAAGTATATATTCTTGATCAGCATCAACAGTCGAGTCGATCTAGCCATGTCCGTCTGTCCGTTTGTGTGTTTCTACGCAAACTAGTCTTTCATTTTTAAAGCTATCTACATATATCATATAGCTGCCAACAGTCGGAATATTTTTTGAAAAAAATTATAACTCTCCAGTTTTTTAACAGATTTTCATTAAATTTGAGATATAGCTCTTTTTATTAAGAACATCCGTTTTAAACTATTTGCCTCTCATTCTGTCTTACTGCTTTAAAACGGTGTCTTACCCTCCCCATACCATGTTATACCGGGCTTTTTGAATATATAATATGTGACCGCTCTTTTCATTAGTTCTTCGCAATTTTTGGAAGGCAGTTAATGCGGTAATACTTTGTAAACAACCGTCTCTTTTGAAACTTAAGAATCGTTTGAATAATATTCGTCTCCAAGCAGCGGCTCCTCCCTTGGACATATATATATACCTGTACAAAGAACTTGGATGATTGGATACGGGTGGATCGGTGCCCGGTTCATGAGAGAACATAGTGACACCAGGGGCCATACCTATGTACTTCTTCGGCTTGCAAGAGAAATCTAATTTCATCCAACATGGGTCCTTTCCTTGTCCTTTCTGATTTTATATTTTTTATATTTTTATATTTCTCTTTACGGTTACCCTCTTCCTTACGAAATTAATATAATTGCCAAAAACCTAAAAAATTGTATTGGCAATAAAGAGGTTGCAATTAAGAAACTATAAATATGTATATCCGAAGTCCTCGTCATGCGTTTATGTAAATTTTTAACCTACCAATCTATAATTAACACCCCTTAACATTAAAAAACTGAGATTCTGAGCTCTGAAGTTTTTCCAGCTGTGTTCACAGTATAAGGGATAGATCGGCCTATAAGGCATGAGGGTGGAGTCCTCATAGCGGTGGACCCTTTAATCACGTCAGAATTATTAACTTCCGAGGTATGCAATGATGTTGAATTCCTCTGTGTAAAGCTATCTATCAATGGTAGCTCCATATCTATAAATTGCTCATACATGACTCCGTTGTCGGAACTTCCTATTTACTAGAACCACCTTTCCGCTCTTCAGATGGTTTCCAATAAACTTTCAAATAGGGACAATTTGGTAGTCCTAGGAGATTTTAATATCCCCGGTGCTATTTTGTCCTCAAACAATTCAATACCAAATATGTTCAATCCGAATGTGTTCCGTTATACTATCCGCCAATCTCGAATAAACCGCCGTGGTTTACTAAAGAGTTGAGCCAACATAAAAATAAAAATCTAGGCTGTATGCTTAATTTAAAATCACCTGTTCTCAATATGCCCTTTCCTCTTATTTATCAGCTCGGTCAAATTTTACCGTCCCAAACGCGCAGTGTTATAAAAACTATTTAACTCTTTGCAGGGTCCAGTTCTCACAGGACCCAAAACAGTTTTATAATTTTGTTAACACCAAACGTAAGTCTAAAACAAATCCTTCCTCGCTTTCATTTGAAGAAACTACCGCAAATAATGATCAGGCAATAGCCGATCTATTTTCGCAGTTTTTTCAAGCGACGTATTTCAACTATTCGGATTCAATTCAATCTTATTCCTATCGCCTGTGCCGACGCCCTGTGAAATTGTTTACCTTAGAACCCTCCCACTTCCCCCCTATTGTTAATTATTACCTTCCACAAAAAAGGTAGCAAATCGAATGCCAACAATTATGGAGGAATCTTTAAGTTTTCGGCCAACACTTCGAAAACATAATAACTCCCCAACAAGCATTTGGCTCTATTAACCATTCTCTCCTTGTTAGCAAAATTGATTTAATGAGTTTTCCAGTTGATCTTGTTAATTGGATCTCAACTTATCTGAATGGCAGGGCGCAAAAAGTCCTCTTTAAGAATAATTTATCGAATGTTCTCACAGTCACTTCTGGATTCCCGCAAGGGAGCCATGTGAGTCCCTTATTGTTTACATTATTTATAAACGACATGCCCAAATTTTTGATTAGCTCCAGAGTACTCATGTACGCTGATGACTTTAAGCTTTGAATGTAATGTAAGGACGTCGGCTGCCAGTCGGATTTACAAACAGATATTACTAATTTCCAAACATGGTGCCGCGTAAACTTATTAAATGCAAGCTAATGGCATTTTTTCGTGTCGTTTCCAAGCTTGCAACTTACACGTTGAACTGGTGTTCTTTGGAAATAATGAATTCCATTGATGATTTGGACGTAAGCTAGGATCCTAAACTTGGCTTTATATTTTAAATTTTATCAATAAATAACTCTTGAATTTTTACGCGTATAGATTGATGATCCAGCAAAATGTTGGCAATTATTTTGTTAAAAACTATTTTGTCGACATGTATGTAAAAGTTGAAACGGAGCGACTCAATTTTATGGGTTTCAATCAGTTGAAGTTACAAACAAACAAATACAAACACCTACGCGGTGCCATTGTTACTGAAGGACATGCGACCAATCTCGGTCATTTGACCATTCTTGCAGCTACTTAAATATGTTGGAAGTCCGAGTCATTTGCATTTGCATCACTGACACGTGCAATACGAGATGCCCGGAAATTTCTTATTTGTTTCTGCCAAGACAAAAACCCAGCGATCGTCCTGACATCATTGACAATACTTATGGATTTCATCGTTAAGCAGAAGCTTTTTTGCGGAGTTCGCAGTTGGATGTACTCGATTGAATGGCAGAAACTTGGTTTACCACACGCAAATATTCTGCTTTAGATGCTCGACAAAATGAGACCACATCAAAATTTATGCGATTATTTTTGCCGAAATACCGGATCAAAGTACTGATGCGGATCTGCATTCCGTTGGGACAACGAACATGATACGTGGCCCTTGTAGAGTTCGACACAAAAATGCATGGAAAATGGAAAATGCACAAAGCGGTTTCCACGTCCATTTGTGTCTGACATAATCAGTGGACATGACGGATATCCATTGTACCGGTGTCGCTCCCTAAATAGTAACGGCAGTTCGATAACGCAATGGAGACCATGTCGATAACGTAGGGATGCAGAAACATCGATGTGTGCATCAATCGATGTTTTCGATGTTTAAAAAAAAAACATCGAGTGAAACATCGATGTTTCTAAAAAAAAAATGGAATATAACAATATGACTAGATTTTATTCGGGATCTGTGATATCAGGACTATCAATAGTATTATTGAAATGTGAATTCTTATTGTTAAATAAAAGCTTGTCCACAGAGCCTTGTCCTGCGGTCACTAATAGTTTGTCCAGCTTTGCTGAACACTCTTTCCGCTTCGCATGACGAGGCTTGTATAGACAAGTATTTGGCTGCTACCAATTTTAAAGAGCACTCATCAGTACTTATCTATAAAAAATTGTTATTTAGCATTTTTCGCATAACAATTTTAAAGTCTTTCCTTCCAATATTTTAGAGGGTCTTCATTTTCTCCAAGGTTTTCTTTTTAGGAGTTGTGTGAAAAAACTTCGATGGTGGTGACCCAGCCATCGATGGTTCCGATGATTTGCAAACATCGATAACATCGATGTTTCACTCGATGTTTCTGCATCTCTACGATAGCGACCGGATCGTTCCACATTGTACGTTTTAATGAAAATCTTTTCAGCTCACTGAAATGTTGAGTTCTAAAACTCTATCGTATTTATCAAATTCGTTTGCAAATGTGTGAACATGGCGACATCCAAAAGAAAAAATTTCAACTTGGACATTACGTGATTCATGAACGTTACCCGACTGTTGTTTATTTATCGGTTAACTTGGAGAACGGGCAGTGCGTTTACTTTGCGGACGCAAAGGAAGCTGCCTTATAATCCTCTTTCGATTGATAATCCAGCTAAAAATATGGACGTCGGTAGTTTGAATTCCATTATTCAAAGTCCGCTGCATAATTTACAGCTGAAGGTTGGCTCGATCTAATCATAATGCGGAATCTGAATCATCTGAAATTGTACAATGTACGCGGTTGTCCGTCAAGAAACTAATGGGCCATATAAATCAAGCAACAATCATCAAGAACAAATTCAAAGAAGAGAAAGTTCTACCCCCTCGATATCCAATTATTCCAAATGATCTTCCATTTCAATTTACGCGGATTCAAGTCCCAACTCGGTTAACTTTTGCGATGACAATCGAAGAATCGCAGGGTAAATCGTTGGAGGTCTGTGGGATTAGCCTTGGATCTGCCTGTTTTTCAGTTGAACCACTACCACCACCACCACTAAACCGTCTTCGTTGTTTATTTTTTTTCGCCAGAAAACAGATTTAAAGCTAAAGTTTATCATATCGCTCACAACTGTTGAATATCAAATAAATAACATAGACGTTTGACTTATTTGCGTCTATTTCATCTCTGGGGTTATATAAAACATTAATTTGAGGCGAAACAAAGTTCGCCGAGCATACTATATATATATCTACATACACATATGTATATATATATCAATTAATCAGCATTTCAATTCCCACACTCCGATCAAAAAAATATTTAATAACTACATTTGTTCTGCACTTACGATTTCGTATAGCTTGAGCCATAACTCTGTAGTTTTAGAAGTAATGGGGCTGTTTATATACCCTTTGCAAATTGAACTTTGATTACTTTAATTACGAATTAATACAATATAAATTATATATTTTTTTGTTAAAAAACAATAAAGTAATGCCTGCTTTCATTTTGTTTACCTATACATATTATTTTTATAGTATTGCACTTTCATTAAATTAAAACCAAAATTATAGAATAATATAAAAAGGCTATATCTTAATTTTGTTGAAATTTGTAAATTTGTTCTCGATCGCTCCTATGGCAGCTATATGATATAGTAGTCCGATTTATATAAAATTTGTAAAAAACATTTTAGAATAATATAAAGTTGCTATATCTTAAAGTTGATAAGTTGATTAAATCTGTTAAAAATTGAAAAAGTTATAATTTTTTTTGGAAAAATTCCGATTGTTCCTATGTCAGTCGTCCAAACTGGCCCGTTTCGACATATATGTATATACATACATACATCCAGATAGATTCAAAATTGAGAGACTATATCGAGGCTATATCGCCTTGAATGCTAATGCTGATCAAGAATATATATACTCTTTATGGTCGGAGATGACTCGTTCACTGCGTTGCAAACTTGTGACTGAAATTATAATAGCCTGCAAAGGTGGTAGAAAAAATGTTTTTCAGATCGGACTGTTTTATGTATATTAATATTAAATTTAAAATTTTAGAGATGTAAGAGTTGGCCAACCTTTTTAATTTTGCTAGTATTTTGTTTTATATCATGCTTTTGAGATTTTCTTAACTTAATAATCTATATATATATATACTTTTATATCTATACCCCATTAGCTGCTGACGAACCAAAAGAAAAGTAAGCTATGGTTTAATGACATTATATCAACAAGCGATTCGAGCTTTCGATTTAAATATTTATTTATTAATATTAGTTTGAAATAATAACAAAAACTTAAGCATGAGAAACTGCAATAATTCATATATTTGCTTATAATATTTTTCTTTTTTCTATACCTACAAATCATATACTAAAATTGGGGGTTTTCAAATCAAAAATAGAGGGAAAGTTTTCACTTCTTGAAAACAATAGGTAAGTAAATAAGATCTCAAGGGCTATATATGTGTATGTTAGGTGTTTCGAGTGTAATTGTATCTTAATAACAATCAAAGAATGTTTTTTTATAACTTGTAACATTTGTACGGAGCAGACTAATATTTAGAAAAAGCGAAGAAAACAACATAGTTAAACAACAAAGTTATTATATAAAACAATTATAAAGTTATAACCTAAAATCGCAAAAAAAAAAAAATTTAAAAGGGGGCAAACCGCTAGAGTTTTTGTCTTAAAATTGGAAGATATATTTATTGAATTTAATATAATTTTAAGTTTTGTTTTTAGGGTGATTTGCCCAAAAAATGAAGAGGTTATTTCTAAAGTAAAAGGCACATTTCTCTTAATTTAGAAAAAAATTGTATGTTTTTTAACATTATTATAGACTTAAATTAGTTATTAATTTATGTTATTTGTATTAATCAATCGTGTTATGATTGTGTTAAATATTCACTTACAAATGTATATGATTTCACAGACAAATCACATATCCAAAGACGATTTATTCGTATGAAATTCGTTATAGCCTAACAATTTGTTATTTTGTTATGTTTTGTCGTACTAACCAATCGTGTTATCGTCAATAAAAAAAAAAAATATATATATAAATATATATATATGTACATATATTTACTCACATATGTATGTATTTATATGGTTCCGCAGACAAATCGACGGTTTCGCGCCGACATTCGCGAAAAAGCCCGCCATACGACAGGAAGAAGATGGCAAAAAACTTTTATTTGAGTGCCGGGTTAATGCCGATCCAAAGCCAAATATTATTTGGTATCACAACGGAACACCTGTAAAAGAATCTGGGAGACATAAGGTTAATATTAAAACTATTTACTCGAGAAATTTTAAATATATTATCTTATTAAATAAAAAATGTAGTTCATTGTTTTAAAAATTATTATTGATATATTAAATATTCATTTCAGCTAACTATCGATAAGGATGTCCATTCATATTTCGCAACACTTGAGATTGTAAATGTCACTGTTGAGGATGCTGGCAAATACAAAGTGAATGCTAAAAATGAATTGGGAGAAAGCAATGCCACAATAAGCCTTAACTTCGATAGTAAGTTTTCAGAGAAACAGTAACTGTAGATAATTCAGTTTTAATTTAATTTCATTGATCTTTCATTATTTAGAAATAACTTTAACAATTCGGATCAAATAATGCTTTAGTTCTTGATCAATTTACGACAAATATCGCTTACCTATTAATATTTTGTTTTTTATTTAAGACTTTCTTTATGATTCGTCTTTACCGAATCTTGCTAATAACTTGAATCAAAAAGAACAACCACGAGAAAGGTATATTTTTGTTCTTGATATTCCAGCGAAGATAAGAACAAGAAGATAGTAAATATTTTAATTTTTATTTATTATATAAATTTATGGAAGAAATATATATGCTTAGGTAATTTTTAAGGTATTTAACAATATGAAAAGTATTCGTATTTTGCTTGTGCTGTGTTTTAAAACTGAGCCTGTGACTTTTGTCATAATTGAAAAACCGTGTATATATGTATTATGGATACCCTACTTCTATAGGCGACGAAGCTCCAGTTCCCGAAAGTGCTGAAGGCATTAAGCCAACATTTACCGAACGTCCAGTAATACGTCAAAGCGAAGATGGCGGAAATGTTACATTCGAGTGCAGATGTGTGGGAGATCCCAAGCCAACAGTTACATGGTACGAAAAATAATTTATATTTACTATATAAAAACATTAAACAAAATCGTATCGATTAAATGGTAGCAGGAGATCCGCTGCGTTTTAAAAATTTATTTAAAGTATTTTACCAAAAATGGCACTCTGTAAATACTTTTTATATCAATCCAAAACCTATTTTCCACACAAAGGTCCCATGGAGAGACTATACTTAGCGATGACGGCAAACGCTACAAAATGTCATTGACAATGGATCAGAAACTATATCACTTGGCATGCCTTGAGATAAATAGTGTTGTATCCACCGATCAGGGTGAATATCGCGCGCTAGCGAAAAATAAACATGGCACTGGCATTGCAACAATTAATCTAAATTTTGAAAGCGGATCGAGAAAGTAAGATAAACCACAATCGAAATAAAAAACTCTCGAATACCAACTCCTTATAAACTTAATACACAGAATTCCCGATGGGAAGTCGCCACGATTTCCAAAAAAACCAACGATCCGTCAAGAGGAGGATATACTCATCATGGAATGTATATTGGAAGCACATCCCGTACCGGACATTGTCTGGTATTGTTCGGATCGGGAAATACCGAATAACCAAAGAACTAAAATGACTCGCAAAGCAACCACAAAAGATAGCTATATTCTTACGCTGGAAATTCAAAATCCCACAAAAGAGGATGGCGGCAACTATCGGTGCAACGCAATAAATATGTATGGAGAAAGTAATGCTAACATAGCGCTTAACTTTCAAGGTATTAATTGTTATATTTCCACCTTAATGCAACCTACGAACAATATATAAGAAGATCTTATTTAAAAAGCACACAGAAAGTGCTGTTACCAAGTCCCACTTTAAATATAGTGATATATTTCCTATACAAAGCGTTAGTTGCTACGGCAAAAATAGTATTTAGAAAACAGAATGCATGTGCATCTACTCAATACTTAAGAACATAAATATTAAATTATTACAATATTTTTCAGGCCATTAGATTTCCTGCAAATTAAAAAAAAAAAAAAACAGATCTTAAATCAATAACCATCTTTTCATTCGATCTTATAATGCATTCTAAACAATTATATAATATGAATACACCGCTTAGTATTGAATTTTGCTTCCTATCGATTCATTTATCTGACTAACTCTAAAAATCATTTGATATTATTGTTTTCTTTTTCACAATCGGTAATGCCGTCTTACCTAATAATATCTTGACAACAATCACAGGTGCTAGCGATGCCAACGGTTTTGCGCCATCATTTATCGAAAAGCCGAGGATAATTCCAAATGAATCTGGCACACTGATCACAATGAAATGCAAGTGCAAGGCAAAGCCAGAGCCCATTGTCACCTGGTTTAGGGGTCAAACTTTGGTGGAGAAGAGCAAAAAGATTAAAATAAACACAACTGTCATTGCGGAGGATACATACGAACTGACATTGGAAATAAAGGTAGGGGAAAGCTATTAAATATATTTCGAAATTTAGGTATTATTATAATTTTGTATTATTATTATTATTAAAATTTTGTGTTAGTATTATATTATAATTTTGTATTATTATTATTATTGTTATTATTAGTATTAATATTTTTATTGTTGATATGATATATGATATAGGATCCTGGAGCAACAGATGGTGGTACTTACCGATGCAATGTCAAGAATGAATATGGCGAATCAAATGCCAATCTTAATCTTAACATTGAAGCCGAACCAGAGCCCGAAGGTGAGGGTCCAACGTTTGTTGAAAAGCCACGAATTGTATCCGAAAATAATGGCAAATTGGTGATCATGGAGTGTAAGGTGAAAGCAGACCCCAAGCCAGATATCATTTGGTTCCGCAACGGCGAAGTGATTAAAGAAAGTAACAAACTAAAAATGTCAATGGAACAGCGCGGTGATCAATACTATATTAAATTGGAGCTATTGGATCCACAACTGGAGGACTCTGGGTTATATAAATGCAACATAAAGAATACATTAGGCGAGTTGAATGCGAATTTAACGCTGAATATAGAAAGTAAGTAATATTTCCGAAAATGTATAGCTTTCTTTCTAGTTCAAATAATTGCTTTTAAGTACTTAGATTGAATAATTTATATACTATATAATTAATTAATTTTTTTTTTCAAGTCGTTCCTGTTATTAAAGACAAACCAAAGATTATAAAGATTATTAAGAAGCGAACTGTCGTCATCGAGTGCATAGTGGCATCAAAGTTCGAACCGAAATGTACGTGGTACAAGGAAACCAATACGGTTCAGGAGAGCAAGAGACACGTTTACCTAGTAGAGCAGACGAAGGACGGAGAGTTTCAGGTTAAACTTGAGATCAACGATGTTCAGGACAGTGACAAGGGTGCCTATAAATTGGTGGCTAGCAATGAGAAGGGCGAAGCTGTGTCTCAAATCGTAAATCTGGTCGAAATTCCCGAGGAGGAACGCAAGCCTGAAAAGCCGACAATATCCAGAAAACTAGTTGACCAAAAGGTCATAGAATCAAAGACTTTTGAGCTATTAATTAACCTAACGAAGTCCGATCGAAAGTGTAAAATTGAGTGGTATAAAGGTAGCACCTTGATTCGCGAAACCAAGGATATAACCACCACTTTTGATGGTACGACGGCTCGTTTGACATTTAGTAGTGCTAAATCGGAGCATACTTCTAATTATAAAGTCATTGTAAGCAATGAAATTGGAAAGGATGAATCAACTTGTAAAATTACGGTTGAAAAAGGTAGCAAGAAAAAGGACGAAGAAGAGCAGAAGGAAAAGGACAAGCAAAAGGATGAAATTGAAAAGCGACAAAAGGTAATGGATATTACATTATTAAGAAAACTTCATTTGAATTTATTTGCATTTGCGGATAAGATTCATTTCTTTAAAAAATAATTCATATTTTCCTTTTTTGTTAAATCAAATTAAAGTTTTTCATGTTGTTAATTATTTGTATACATTTAAATTCTAATAATTTCTAATTATTCTTACCGTTTTAATCTTATTTACACCCGTCAATAACCAATACACTATAAACACACGAATAATGTATAAATTAATAAAGATTGAAGAAGAAAAGGTCACTAAAGTTGAAGAAAAACAAAAAAAGAAGTGGCAAAAGAAAAACCGAAGGAAGAAACACAGAAGGCAGAGACAGAAATAGAAACAGAACCAGAGCTAGAAAATAAAACTGGAATAAAGCCGAGCACAGAAGAAGAAAACAAAACCCCTCCAAATGCAGAAGAACCTAGTTCTGATGACATACTAAACGAAGGAAGAATACGTCGGAAAAGAAGCCAGAACCCAGGCAAAATAACGCATCAGAGATTGTCAAAGACAAGGAAATACAAAATATAAAAGAATATCCCGACAACGTAAACGGTGAAAAGAAAACAAAACCAGAAAACAAGGCTGTTTCAAAGAAAATTAAAGAGCCGAAAACAAATAAAGTAAACGCAGAGAAAAATAATGCAGAAACTGAGGAGAAGGCTTCTGTAAAAGTACAAAGTACCGAAAAGATTCCAATAGAAAAACCAATTCTTAAAAACCCAGATGTTAATACTGAAGAAGAACTAAAGAAGGAACAGTTAATGGAAACAGTTTCAGTCAACCCAAAAGATAGTATCGAAGAACCCAAAGAGGTAAAATGAAAAAAGGTCTCATAAATTTGCTGCTACGTTTACTTAGCCCTTTTAAAGGGAATATTTCCGCAAAACAATTTTACTAAAAAACCACCAAAAAGCATGTCTTGTATAAATATAAATATTTATTTTAAAATATATTTTTAATATTAAATTACTTCTATATTTAATTCCCAGCAACAAGGTGTAGAGCAAACAGTACAGAAGAAATCTGAACGCAAGGTAAGATAAGATTAAGATTAATTATTATATAAATAAATATTTTATAAAAAATTAACCACATTGAATATTGAACTATGCCGTTTTTTATTCGATAATACTCTGCAAATTATGTTAAGTAATTTTAAGAATGCCTTAATTTTGACAAATGTAATATTAACAAAAAAACAATGAATTAGTATTATTAAACTATTTTATGTTAAATGAGTTGTGTTTCGTTCAGGCAAGTATTGTATCTGTAAAAGAGGAGATCTCCTCGTCCGAGTCACGTCGCCAGTCGATAATCCAATCCAAGGAAGAAGTCTTCGTAGAAGATACAAAAATATCATCACGGAGGTCATCCCTAGCGGCAAGTTTTAAATTTATAGATGTGTCATTATTTGTTTTCTATATGTTTTCAATGTTAAAAGGTTGAGGAATCTAAAACTGGTTCACGACGCTCATCTATTATTGAAAAGAAATCGTTGGATGTGAGTAAAAGAAAATAAAATATTCCAAAAGTTACCCTAAAGCATGTCAGTTATATTGGCTTTTAGTCCCACAAGTCCCATAAATATTCCTATAAGAAACAATATTTCCCCGATATAGCAGGTCGATAGTAAGCATCTAGAAGCTAATAAGAATCCACAGGCCTTAAAGGAAGAAATACCAAAGCTAAAGCCAGCTGAAAAGCGAAGAACTTCAAAGGTGAGATGAGACTTTTAAGTGCCTCAATAAATTTCTATGCAAATTCTGCACATTTCTCTATATACTTTGTCTTTCATATCTCTCTATCTCTTTATGCAATCTATTGAATTGATATCTTTAATGAGTAATATTATTATTTAATATTCAAAAAGATTGCCTTCTCTGTGACTTACTTTCCGCTGCTTAATAACTTTATATTTTAAGTTTACCTAATAGTCTTCAAAGTTGCGTGAAAGCCCGTTAATGATCCTTACCACTATAAATATAGTAGAATCAAATTAGTGAACTGTTTATTATTTGTTATTGTCATGTCTAAATGCCAAAAATAGGTAATTGAGGAAAAGACACCTGTAGAGGAATTACCAAAACTGCGTAAAACTTCAATTGCTCAACCGAAAGAGGAACCCAAACCGGAAGTGGCAAAACCAAAGACGAAAACCAAAACAAAGCAAAAAGCTAAATATGAAGAGCTACCTGAAATCCCAGATTATGAGAGACCCGTACTGGAAAAGTATGAGAAATCAGAATTTACGCCCACAGATTTTGGCCGTGAATTAGAGATACCTAATAAGATGGAAAAACCAATAGTAGATAATGGCAAAAAGGAGATAGAGGCATCTCCTCAAAAGAATGGCATTCCAAAGGTATACTGTCTTATTTATTATTTCATCTATGTACTTGTTATATTTATGTGCAATCAAATGTCGTCCATTAAACGTTTAGAAGGGAGAAATTATTGAGAAACCGGCCGAGGAACCAAAAGCCTTAAAGCTTGGCAAAGGTAAATTGCCTGAGGAAAATGATAACCGTGATGGTGCAACACTGAAGCCTGTTATTATAGAACCAGAGGTAGGTAATAATATATATAAATGTGATAAAAAACCAAGTTGCCTTGTAAATTCTTCCTTAAAAATTACCTCCTCAAACCTCTCCCCATACATTCCCTTGCAGACGCATGAGCTTAAGAACAAAAATGACAAATTGAAGAAGGTAAGTTACTTATTCCAAATGCCTTATACACATGTACATACTAAATAGAATTCAAAGACATTTTTCGGCTAGCCGAAATGTAAAGTTCAAAATAATTTGTAAACATTTTAATTTAGAGAATGTGTCGCCTGCAGTATGTAGGTATATCCTTAGTTGTTTCTTAATAATAAAATACTAAACTGTTCAGGTCGATGATGATAAGCCATCTGTATTAGATATTATAAAGCAACGACGCCGATCCTCAATTAGAAATCTGATGACCAAGGAACCAATTCAAAATGAATCATTCCTTGGTGTTATTTTAAAACCAGTGATTAAGGATGCCAAAGAGTTAGCGGCGCCACAGCAAGCCAAGCAATTGACAAAGGTAACACACAATCTTTCGAGCTCGCCTCTTTCTTTCTCTCTTATATAAATTTTTTGATTAAGCCAAAATTTTCACGATTTCGGTAACTCCTTTCTGTCAATAGATCAAAGATTAATTAAGGGTATTAATCACGAAAGCTGTCTCTGTCTGTTTCTTCTTTCACGTCTTTCTTATTCACCTTTCTGAGCTATCTGGTTTTTGGTTTTTTTCTGCACTCTTCTCTGTTCCTGTTTCTTCCTCTACTTTTATATTTCATTTCAAATTAAACATGCATAATATTCATAATATCCCATATACCTAATCGCGATATCCAATATTATAAGGCAAATGCGTCTGAACAGTTCGCCCCCACCAAACCAATGAAGGCCCAGGTATCCGAGTTGGTAAAGCCTGAACCTTTGGCCACTCTTGACGACTATGAGCGTCCAACTTTAGAGAAATTTGAACCAGTCGAAGTCGATAAATCCAAAAAAGACAAGTCCGCACCTGCCATTGTCGTACCGGAAATAAGACCACAAGAGGTGACAACAGAAAAAGTTCAGGTAAGATGGACGTACATACAGATATGTAATATGTCAGAGCTTGTAAAATATTAGTTGATATTATTTTTTCAGAGCGTTGAGAGCCATAACATCTCTCTCTCTCTCTCTCTCTCTCTCTCTCTCTCTCTCTCTCGCTCTTATGTTGCGGTCTTTCAATGTCAATTTTTGCAGTCAATTATATTTCATAGATCTCCCGCATTGCCCGCTCCTCAATCGAAAATCGAGAAAGGGAAAAATAGGAGCTAACGCTTCAAAAATTGTCATTGAAATCATTAAGTTTACATAGTAACAAACAGACCTACATGTCTAAATTGACTCGTCTGTTAATTCTGATCAATATCTAACTTATTCTTACACCGAGTTTTGTCACTTAATAATAATATCTTAACACATAAAAAGGTTAAACAGTCATATGATCATTTACAATATGCTTATGCGTGGTCAAAATATAACTTATTACAATAATCGTAAAAGTACGTTTACATAGTTCAGTTTTTTAAACGTAAAAGCATATAATATAGCAAAGAACTATAAAACAATAAATATTACTTTCATAATTAAATTGAGAAAGTATACATATTGTCCCTCGGACACGATTAAAGGCTATTTATACACAATACTTATATTTGTCTTATATTTATATATAATCAAATGTTTATATATTTAATACATTGGCAAAATATATAACTTTTGTCAAAAATATATATACGTATCACATCACATCACATTTTTGTGATAAAACTGTCTTTGTTGTCTGACTGTCTGTAGTTGTCTCTCTAGCCAAGCGGTTCCGTTTTCACATTTTTTAAAATTATTAATTATGAGCTAGCACGCTTTAACCTAATTGATTAATTAATTAAATGTAATTATTTTCACTATAAGCAATTTATATTTCGAACACTTAATCTTGTAATTTAACTAGAACACACATTAAATTATAATGTCGGCATTTAATTTAAAAATAACGGTGGGTACTCAACTATATCGTCAGAATAGAAACTAAGTCAATTTTAAATGTAAATTGCACTAAATTAGATCTTCATGTTGATACTAAAACTTTATACTTAGGTAAAGTTTTCAAAAAAAGTACTTTACTTAAACTACATATCATTTATTTTTATAAAAGGACGTAAAACCAAAAACTCCCAGAATGCAACCACCTGCACCGGGCGAGCCACCCAAGATCGAGGTAATAAGGGAGAAGCGACCATCGCTGGCCCCTGAGCCCCCAAGTCGTCGGGGTTCCCTGATACCGCCAGCAGATATGGGGAGACGACCGTCATTGATTATTAACGACGAGGTAAGCAAACACGAAACCCACCTGGGTTTTCGTAAGGCAAATTGGATTTTATTAAGTGTTTCGTCAGATGTTTTCGATCTATTATAAACATCTGAATGAAATACTTAATGCATACTTATCCAAAGAATCATCTATTTACATTGCGCTATCTACAATTATAAAATTAAAATTAATAAAATTGCATTACATATTTAAACATTTTTGGTAAGGACGTAAGGACCCATTATTAGCTTTTTTATACAAGAAGTCAAATTTTAAATATCGCTATTAAAATTCGTCATAGCCTTGGAACAGTACAAAAAATATATCCCTATATGTCTTTACGCTTGCAGGGTATTCAAGTTTCAATCAGAATTTTGGTATAATTTAAATAATCTTTGTAATGTGTATAGTGTTTATTTTTAAAAGTGACTGAATATTGCCTTGGCTGATTAACTGTGCTAATCTCTTTATATCTAAGTGCATTTATTCGAATTGGTAAATTACAACAATGTAGCTAATTTTGATATATGTATTTACTTATGTTCCCTTTTATATATGTACCTACCATACCACCATGAAAACGTCCCAAATCCCTATTCAACATTTCGACCTACACTTAATCGACAAATAAATTATTTTATATCACGTATTACAAAAAAAAATTATAAATAAATAAAAATTAAAAATTTTATCTGTAAAACGGTATGTAAAATAATTACTCAAATAAAAATATCAACAAATACACAAATACAATAAATAATGGAAATACTTCAACGTACCAATCAAACCAACAACAAAATAATAAAAAACAAATACAATTTCATTATAAAATTCCAAAAATGCACAACAAAAATTAACAAACAAAAAAAAACAAAAAAACGCATACCCTTATTGCATTCCAACAAAAACAACACTCAACAATCGTTCCCACTCTCCGTAAAAACCCTTCACCAAAAAAAAAACACCCACAAAATAATCAGAAGAAACTCCGACCCGGCGAAGTAATGGATACGAGGGTAAGAATTTGCATTTGCAATTATATCTTGATTTAAAATCTGAAGTATAATATTTAGATATAAATTAATAATTTAGTACATATCCCAACAGTGGCGGTAAAAATAATCGTATGATTCAAAAAAGTACAAACATATATATATTAAGAAACCGTTATGTATTAGAGAATATGATTATATATACAATATAATTATAGCTTCATGTCCCCGAAGTTTGTGCACCTTTGCAGTTTGCAAATGGATCAATTGAAATCGAAAAAGCATTTCACATACATATGTACATATGTATGTAGAGTTACACACAGAAAGACTGACATGATTAGATCGACTCGCCTGTTGATGCTAACCAAGTATATACATGTGTATGTACATTTATTTACTTAATAGGGTGGGAAACTACATCTCCACTAGTTTGCAAATAATATAACAATGCTGGTGTTTAAAACAGAGTGGAATCAGTATTAGATTAGATTATTAAAATGCACAATTTACTAGCGAAAACTATTATTTTCACCGGTGCTATGTATGTATGTACATAAAAATACACATTGAATTCAGTATGGGCCCTGATGTGCCTAGATATAGCAGCATATTTATTATTATTTTTAAAATACAGTAAAGCACTGACCAATAAAAAACTGGGGAACACAATAAATAATATAAATCCAACGCGTTGGCTCACTGTTGTTTCTAAACGATTCAAACATATCTATATTTTGTGACCTTGGTCAAAATTGTATATGTGTACGAATATTTACACATATACCTAGCATATACATACATATATATAGATATAAACGTTATTTATAAAATACGAAATGGGCTTCAAGCATGTATGTACATACACATGCAGTCGCGTCGTGCATATGCATATGTATGTATGTATGAGAATTATATATCGGTCGTTTCTAGTTCCTAGGGTTTATGTTTATTATTCAAATATATTATTGCAAGTGAACTGACAACATCTACGAGTTCAAATTTTGTTCCTATCGGAGCATACTTAAATTTAAAAAGACATAATTACTCATCATAAAATGAAATATTCATGAAAAAGGATAAATAAATAAATACATAAATATATATATAGGAATATTGATTGTCTAAAACTAAAGGAGACCAATCAAGAACATTTCATTTAGTTACTTTATTATTGAGTACCGTGGATTAGCAAGCATTTTAATACTATTCAAAACATATTACAGTTATTGAGGCCAGGAGAGGTCGGTGAAGGACAGGTGAGAGAGACCTTAGCTGCGAATCGAATTGCATACATATTTATTTTTTTATTTACCTTATCATCTCGAAAAAATGATCCCACTCTTTGATTCGAAACACATTCAAAGATTCAAACTATTTTCAACACATTGCTCACAAGAAGTACAAGAAGTTTCATATATTTTAAGTATTTTAATTATTAATTTGTTAAGTATCTTTTCATCTAATTGCATCCAAAATATTTCTAAAAGTAGTTGTTGTTCCCACATAAAGTTCAATTCATTTCAAGCATCATTTAGTCAGAACCTTATTTATTTTTCCTAATACTTTAAACATAACAGTAAATCATGTAAAAATCCAACGTTAAAATATCAAGCTAAACTTTGTTTATGTTAAACAAAAATTACACTTTTTTGTGAACATGAAACATGAAGAGTAAGCAAATCTTTAAAACGACCTATTCCAATTTTTATATTATTTTTTGATTAATGAATAGCAAAAGCAACCACGACCTGGCGAAATGGGGGACACCAAACAGGTCTCGATAAATAAATGGTCAAGTTCGATCGAAAATTTTTAATAAACGATTTATTATGTTCGCTTGGCTTTATATTTTTGCCCATATGAATGGAAGTTTTAATTACGTATAGTTAGGATATTCAAAACTGCAGTCTCTTTGTAAATATTCATATATATTTTAAATATTTATAAGCTCAAAGTCATTGCAAATAAAATACAAAATGTACAAAGTGTTAAATATCTAAATCATATATATATATTTTTTTAAATATGTATAATTATTATATAATATACTATATATATACAGAATAAACTGATCCGTCCGTTTCCCCTTTTTATGGTATTCAAATATATACTACTAAAATAAAGTATTTGTGGGATTTTAGGCTGAACGAAAATATATTTATTATAATGCACTTTACTGCAACGTAGCAATTTTCTATGTGGACAACCCATTCATTATTCCAATATATTGGTGCTCCTTGGAATTAGTTAACAACTTTAAAATACTTAGGTACTTAGGAAAGAATTGTATAGATAACAATATTAAGTATTAAAAGTATCTGATCCCCCTTAGACTGTCAAGCCTGACACATTTTTTGAATGTTTTCTAGAAATGCAAACACATATTATATTTATTAAATAAAGCCATAAGATTCTTAATACATAATCTTTATGGTTAATATCATACATACCATTACACATGACGAAATCGTGTACTTACTAATTTTTTTGTTGAAATAATAATATTTAAAAGTTAATAATTTATAATATTCATTCCCATACTTGTAGTTAATCATATAGAGTAAAACTATTGTAGATTGTGTCTTGGTAGCTTTACAAGTTTCTCACTTACATTCAATCCTGCCACTGTCCGCGGAATGCACTTTTTATTTCAGTTTACTGTAGTTGAATTTTATATATTTATATTTAATCACAAAGAGTATTAAAAAACACTTCAATATTGTTCACTGTCCTTCTGCGATTGTATGTTGCATTTGGTCAGATTATATTGGGAACCAAACTCTGGTTTCTTCCATAACGCTCTTTAGAATCTGGCTAAAAGTAAACATAGCAATATGGTTACATTATTTGCGTTATTTTCCTATTTATATTAAAATAAAGCAGAGCACGTTTTAATACAAATAATTGGAAAGCACCCGGAAACTATTGAAAGGCATTTTGAATGTTAATTCCGGGCATGGACAACATTTTCAATTTAATGAATGGTTTAACCCCATATCACTTATGTTCTTTTGTTATATCTTATTTTCTGTGTCTATCTGACTCCTCGTTCGTGTCCAATGTCTTGTATGTGATGTTTGGTCGAAAACAGCGGCGAAGACCATCAATTGATGTTCGTCGTCCAAGTGTGCAGGATCTAGAAGACCTTATCAACAAACCATCGACACCACTACGCGATGTCGGTGATGGTGGTCCCCCATCAATTGTCGATGTCCAAGAGTCATATTCGGTGGTTGAAGGTATGTGTGTATTTGTTTATTAATCATTTCAATGTAAAATATCTGACTAACCCACATGTATGTAAAAATGTACCATAATCATAATTGTTTTTTGTAGACTCGACTGCCTACCTCACGGTCGGTGTCGAGGGCTGCCCAGCGCCCACATTTAAATTCTACAAGGGTGTTAGCGAGATCCTTGAGGGCGGTCGTTACAAATTCCTCACCGATGGGCAGACAAACACAATTACACTGTGTATGCGTAAGTGCAAGCCAAATGATGAGAGTAAATACAAGGTGGTTGTATCGAATATACACGGTGAGGATTCGGCGGAGATGCAATTATATGTCTCCGATTCGAGTGGCATGGACTTCCGAGCCATGCTTAAGAAAAGACGTTATCAAAAATGGGACAAAGATGAACAGGATCCCAATTGGGGTGATCTGAAGGAAACGGAAAAACCGTTGCCGGCCCTTAAAAAGTTGAAAGGGTAAGGAAAAAGAGATTCTTGATAGAAGTGATGGGTGTTCTCCATCCTATGTTGATAAAGATTCAGTTTGTAAATTTAATTGTTTTAGTTGAAAAATATATATGCATAAACTTTAAACTGACACTGCCATCTGAAACATTAAAATACAGCTTGAGTTTATTTCATTTAACTAAGCTTTTCAAGAAACGCTATTATTAATTTCGCTTGTGTTACAAAACTTGAAAAGGCAAAATATATGAGGGAGTGCTATAAGTAATTTAGAAAATTTTACAATATTTTATTTTATATTAAACTAACATTTATTTTTTAATTTATGGAGTATCAAAGTATAATTTTCATTATATTAAAATAAAAATCTCGAAAATAGGTGGTTAGGAATACTACCAGTGGAGGATTTAGTTAACATATCTATCCCAGAATTATCCGTACGAATTTGTATAATTGTGCCTTAACTTTGAACGTTACTTTTCTATTTATTAACCGTTAAAGTGACAAAAAATAGTTGCAATTATTAAGTTTATTTACGATCGTTTAAACTGAAAATATTTAGGCACCAGGATCACGTAGACCATCTTTAGCTGAATTGATCCCCGATTGGCCGACACTACATCCATTTCGAAGAGAGGAGGTGTGCGCTCTTTCTTTATTTGAATCTTCTACATATTTAAATAAAAAATACTTGTATTAATTAATTTGTATTTTCAGTGTTAAGAGATATGAAATTCTTGTTTTTTGCTGATTTTTTAATCAGTTCATTTCAGTTACTATAGTAACTATATTTCGATTTCATCTCTATGAATTTCTGAGACAAGTTATTAGAATATAGACATTTTCATTATTTTTGTATCGATTTTGTTAAATCGATTTTGAAATTTGATTTTTTTGTTATTTTGTTCTTATTCTACTCGTAATTTTCAGTTTAAAAGGTAGTAACACTATTGTTGTCTATTTTCATTGCTTTATAACTAAAACAGCATGTTGAACGTTAAAAAAATTTCGTAAAAATGTTTTTTTTTTTTTTTAAATCTATGGTGGGCATTTAATGCAAGCTTTAGGACATATTTATGTTTATGCATTTACTACACATGCATAAACATTAATTATAAATTCGATATAAATAAATGTAAAATACAAAGGTAGTCAAAATTATTTAAACAACGACCATTTTTACATGCAAATTTCTTTTAGTTGTTATTCTTGTTGTTGTTGACCAATTTCCCTGACATTTTCTATGATCTATGCAAAAGCAAGCCAAAAAGAATTCGAAAGTTAACGGTTCATAGAAAAATGCTATAAGTAAGAGAATAGATGAATCTTCAGTGTAGTATTTAAACAGAATTGGTTTTCGTATTAAGCGTAACGCTATTAAAATTGTATATTTTTTTAGCGACAATCTCATAAATTACTTTATTAATAGTTTAAAAATTTGCTTTGGTATCGATGAAGGCTTTCAATTGGCTGAAATTGAGTTCATTAAACTATATCCAAAATTATCTTTTGCTTTTAGCGTTGTCCTTTGAACCGTTATCTTTTGTTTTAGTTTTCGTTAAATCAATTTATGGGATAACAAAATTTTATGGAAATTGGTCAAGAACAATAATAACAATAACTAAAAGAAGTTTGGCGGCGAAAATAAGTGAGAATTTGTGTAAATACTTTTGACCACCCCTGTATATTATATTATGTATGTTATACTTTAAATTAAAGATTCACAAACGAAAACAAGAAAGGAAACTAACTTACCGTTGTACATTTGAAGATATATAACAAAATTCGATGTATCAATGTATCATATATAGGATCAATGTCGACGAAAATTGTTAAATATCAATTTTTCTCCGTTTTTTCCAAGGAGCGTGCGGGAAAATTCTGTAATTGAGAAAAGGATTTATTTCAATTAATCGTTTCCATGTCAGCTATATAATATAATGTTCCAATCTGGCTTGTTCCTTCTTAGATACTTGTAATGAAAATTGGTTTCTTGTTTTTCTACTTATAAAATTTTCAGAGGTACAGTCCTGTTGTCCCGCTGTAGTCACAAATTTATGGGCATTACTGAAGTAATAATTTAAAGCCCAAAATCTAAAGAGAAAGTTCCTTTCGTGTCACGTTTTGTACAGTTCGTATATTAAAATAATTGATAATTTAAAAAATTTTTATTTTATTCTCTTACATTATAAACCCTTTGTATAAAAGCAAAAAATCCTTGAAAATCTGCAAAAATGTTAAGTTTCTCTATAAGCCCGGTCAAAAAAAATAATAATAATAATAAAAAATGAAACAAAATAATAATAAAAGAAAAACGTCCGGAAGATAGTTTTTTTTCTTGTTATGTGTGTAAATTTAAAAGGGTTTCGGCAATTCCTTGAAGTCAGTTATATTTCTAATAATGTTTATAACAATATATGAATATAAACTGCATATTATTTGTGCAAATGAAAAAAATTGTTTTTTTGCCCCTTTTTTCTGATTTTGCATAATACAGCATAAATAGCATGTACTATTTAAAAGATAAAATTAAAAATATATTTTTATGATACTCAAACATATATATTTCTTACAAATGATGTTCTTGTAATGGTATATTTTTAAATTACATACACATATGTATGAGATGATATTTTGAGTATTTACATTCTCACAAAAAAATAGTATATCGAAATTTATATATATATAAACTTTACCCATTTTTGACAACGTGTAATATGTGTGGTGGAGTGCAGAAAGTAGAGTCCTTCCTTAGTCCCCTAATTGATCAATTTGCTAAGGAAGGAAAGGATAAGAAGGTTGTGTTCGAGGCGAGATTCAGCAAACCAAACTGCAAGCCCAAGTGGCTATTCCGCAAAGATGTAAGTAGCGCATCAAAAATACTATATTTCGTAAAACATTTTTAAATCAAAATTATCATAATAAATTATAGGAAGTGTTTACGGGCAGTAAATTTAAATTTAAACAGGAAAACGATACATATCAGTTAATAATTACTACTCCCAAAGTCGAGGATACTGGCAAGTATACTATCGAAATCGGCGGTGTGTCTAGTACGGCCTTCTTGAATGTCGAAGAGCCAGATCCATCGTATACTTTTACGAAACCTCTGAAAAAGAAGCTCGACGGATTTACGCAACACGAAACGACATTGGAGTGTTCCGTTAGCAGTAGTATGGCCAATGTCCATTGGTTTAAGGACAATACCAAAATCGAATCAGATGATCCTCGTTATCTTATCTCCAAAGATATTAATGGTAATCTTAAACTGATTATTAAGGACACGGTTCTTGAGGATTTGGGTCTTTATCGTTGTCAGTTAGACAAGCAACCCGATAAAACTGAGTGTACGCTAAAGGTCACCGAGTATCCGTACAAATTTGTCAAAGTTCTCAAGTCTCAGCAGTGCATAGAAAAGGATACGGTGACTCTAGCTTGCGAGATTGATGATGCTCGCGGTGAAGTTCAATGGTTCCGTAATAATGAGGAAGTCAAACCTGATAAACGTTTTCAAGTGGTTAAAGATGGTCGTAAGCGTAAGCTAGTGATAAAAGATTGCAAGGTTACGGATGCCGGTCAGTTTAAATGCACGACGAATGCGGATAAGACAGAAGCAGAAATAATTATCAACTGTAAGCCCTCACCCTACTTCTTTTATTCTTTTTTATAATTTCCTCTTTAAATTATTTTTATGTAGATCAAAATCGTTTTAATAAAAACTCAAGGACACCGATGCCGTAGAAAGAGAGAAGCTTGTTCTCGATATCGAGCTTCAAGACCAAACAGCACCCTGCGATTGGAAATTTAATGGCGAACCCATAGTGCCAAGTGAACGCATTGAGATCAAGAATTTAGGGGGCGGAAAGCATCAACTTATCTTTAATAACCTGGATATGTCTGATGAGGGTGAAATTTCCTGCGAATCGGGACAGCTTAGTTCCAAGTGTAATGTTACGGTGCGTAAGGGTGAAAGTAGGCCAAATATTGATTGTCCTGATCAATTTGCTGGACCAATTAGTGCTCCTGTCGTTTTAGAAGTACCATTTAAAGGTAAGAAAACATTTAATATAACTTTTAATTTATTTGGTTAGTTAGATTCTAAAATGTTTTCCTACAATTTTTAACATTTTTAGTTTCCGGTACTAAACAAACTCCTGTAGAAGCAAAATTATTCAAAGACGGCAAGCCCTTGCCCGTCAAGGATGTAGAGGTCGCTGTTAATGACGACAAGGTGACATTTAAGTTCAAAAAACCATCTAGAGATTTATCCGGACCGTATCAAATTAAAATATCCAACGGCCAAGGTGAAGATACCAAGGATGTCCAAGTGATATTCCAAGATGTGCCGCTGCCCCCGAATGACGTTGATATTACCGAAATATATCAGACATCATGTGTCGTTAACTTTAAGCCACCGTCGGATGACGGCGGCTCTCCTCTAATAAAATATGTTATTGAACGACAGGATTTAAGCAAGAAACAAGGCTGGGAGCCAGTATCTGAGGTTAAACCTAACGAGCCGTGTTGCAAGAAAATCGATGACCTGATACCAAAAAACAGTACAGATTCCGGATTCGTGCTGTCAACAGCATTGGTCCCTCAGATCCGGCAACCTTTAAGAATACAATCTTGGCCAAGGATCCATGGGATGAGCCTGGAAAGCCCAAGGAAGTGGATCTTACTGACTGGGACAAGGATCATGCTGATCTCAAATGGGAAGCACCAGATAGTGATGGTGGTGACCCGATCACAGCCTATGTTGTGGAGTACAAAGAAAAGTTCTCCAACGACTGGGTTTCAGGAAAGGAAGTTAATGGCGATGCCCGAACCGCCACAGTTGATGGCCTTAAAGAGGGCCAGCAGTACGAATTCCGAGTCCGTGCTATTAACCGAGCTGGACCTGGTGAACCCAGTGACAAGACAAAATCCATTATTGCCAAATGCCGTTTCGTCAAACCATTCCTGGTGGGCGATGGCCTTAAGAATATAACAGTGAAAAAGGGCCAAACCATACGTTACGATATCAAGTATGATGGTGAGCCCGAACCAAGTGCAACATGGGTAAAGAATACCGATAACTTAACGTTCGATAACCAACGAATTTGTCTTGAGCAATTGGATAGAAACTCTTCAATAACTATAAAGAAATCGGTCAGAAAGGATACAGGAACATACAAATTGGTATTATCAAATAGTTCTGGAACCATAGAGTCCGAAGCCCAAGTTGTGGTTCTCGATCGACCCTATGCTCCGGGTGGTCCTTTTGAACCTGAAGAGGTTCGTGCCAATCACATCAAGATGAAGTGGCGACGTCCCGAGGATGACGGTGGCTGTGACATCACAGGCTATGCTTTAGAGCGTATGGATGAGGAGACGGGTCGTTGGATACCCGCGGGAGAAGTTGGTCCCAATGAGACCTCTTTTGATTTTAAGGGATTAACCCCGAATAAGAAGTACAAATTCCGTGTCAAGGCAGTGAACAAAGAAGGTGAATCTGAGCCATTAGAAACCACCGATGCCATTGTGGCCAAGAATCCTTATGATCCACCGAGTCCACCAAGCCAGCCCATTATCGATGATTACGATAACAAGAGTGTCCTGCTCAAGTGGAAAAGACCACCATCGGATGGCGGTCGTCCAATCACTCACTATGTCGTTGAAATTAAAGATAAATTCTCACCCTCTTGGAGTGAGGTCGCCAAGACGGAGGATCCTACGCCCGAGTGTTCGGTCGATGGATTAAAAGAAAAAATGGTATATCAATTTCGTGTGAGAGCCGTAAACAAGGCTGGAGCTTCAGAGCCATCACAGCCCACAGATAATCACCTTTGCAAGCACAGAAATCGTAAGTTATTTCTTACATATTTTATATTTGGCTGTATGTTTTTGGGCTTAACATTTTTAAGATCAAAATGCTCTTTTCGAGTTTTTTTTTTTTAATTTATTTTGTAGCTTTCAGAACTTTTTATAATTTCTAAACATGCTGAATAAATATAATGCCTATGCATGTATGATTATTAATTTCTTAGCAAAACTAATTAGAGGCTGCACTTTTAGCTGAATACCGCAACGCTTTTACTTCGTATGTATAACATTTAATAAATATTCCCAAAAGTTATTTAGAAAAAATAAAAATATTTTAATTTTAACTTTTATAGTAAAACCCTTGATTGATCGTAGTACTTTTAAACGAGTAACTATGAAGAGTGGGCGCTCCCATAAATGGTCCGTCGATGTCATCGGTGAACCTATCCCAGAACTCCATTGGAGTTGGAGAGATGATGTTCCCTTGACTAACAGCAATCGAATTAAGATAGAAAATGTAGACTATCATACTGATTTTTTGATCACGAATGCAGTGCGCAAGGATAGTGGTTTTTACACTTTAAAAGCAGAAAATCGTAATGGAATCGATCGTGAGACAGTTGAATTAATTGTTTTGGGCAAACCTACTTCCCCAAAAGGACCTCTTGCGGTCTCCGACGTCACCTCGACGGGCTGCAAATTGCACTGGAAAAAGCCTGAAGATGATGGTGGTGTACCCATCAAGGAGTATGTCGTAGAGAAAATGGACACCGCGACGGGTAAATGGATAAGAGTTGGACGCTCTCCCGGTGAAAAGGAACCGCCTAGCTTCGATGTAACTGGCTTAAGTCCTGGCTCCGAATATATGTTCCGTGTATCCGCCGTCAACGAGGAAGGTGAATCTGAACCATTGACCACTTTGGTCGGTGTCGTTGCCAAGGATCCGTTCGATGAGCCCAATAAGCCGGGTACTCCCGAGGTCACCGATTATGACAATCAAAGTGTTAGTCTGAAGTGGGCAGCGCCAAATAATGATGGCGGTGCCCCAATACAGAAATATATTATTGAAAGAAAAGAAAAGAACCGACCAGATTGGGAAAAAGCTTTGGAAATACCCGGAGATCAGCTGGAGGCGACTGTTTCCGGTCTACAAGAATACGAAGAATATCAATTCCGTGTTATAGCTGTTAACAAGGCGGGTCCGTCGCCCCCATCCGATGCAAGTGCTCCTCAAATTGCAAAGTATAAGAAATGTAAGTTATTTATGGAAAAAAAAATCAAAGTTCTTTAAATCATTTTATTAATTATTTATATATATATTTTATAGTAAGTTTAAGAAACGAAAATAAATATTTAAATATATATTTCTTTAGTGAAACCTCGCATTGATCGAACAAACCTTAAGCCTTTGCTAATTCGTGCTGGTAAGCCTATTAAATACGATGTAAATGTTCGCGGCGAACCCCCACCGACAATAATTTGGTATCAAAACGATATAGAACTCAAGCCAGAAAAATTACCTAGTAGTAGCGAAATTAAGAACATCCCATATAATACAAAGATATCCATTATTGATACGGTTCGCAATAATACAGGAATTTATAAGATAAAAGCTATTAATGAGCACGGTGAGGATGAGGCTACTGTTGAAGTAAATGTTCTAGCTCCGCCTGGTAAGCCAAGGGGTCCTTTGGAGGCCAAGGATGTGACAAAAGACAGCTGTAAATTAAAATGGAAAAAGCCCGAAGATGATGGTGGCAAGCCAATAACAGCATACCAAGTCGAAAAGTTTGATACTAAACAGGGTCGATGGGTTCCTGTCGGCCGGACCTCAGGCAATGATACCGAATTTGATGTCAAGGGCCTTCAAGAGGGCCATGAGTATCAGTTCCGGGTCAAGGCTGTCAATGAGGAAGGCGAATCGGAGCCCCTGGATACTGATGGCAAAATTATAGCCAAAAATCCGTACGATGCTGCTAGCAAGCCGGGTACACCCAAGATCGAAGATTACGACCAGCATATGGTGAAGCTTAAGTGGGCAGAACCAAAGGATAATGGAGGAGCCCCAATTACTGGTTACATCATTGAAAAAAAAGATAAGTTCTCGCCTGTTTGGGATGAAGTACTTACGACGAATGTAAGTATTATATACCAACCAGAAAAAAAAGATAAAGGTAGTAATTTTATATAATTTGGAAATTGTATCCTTTTCTTTTTCAATATTAATATAAATTGTTCTATGTATACTTGAAGACATCCACACCAGAAGCAACCGTTGATGGCTTAACTGAAGGCAATATTTACCAATTCCGTGTGCGGGCAGTGAACAAAGCTGGTCCCAGTGAAGCTAGCGATTCTACAGAACCACACTTGGCCAAACACAGAAATCGTAAGATCGTATTTAATATACGCGTAAGCCTAAGAGAGAAGCCCTCGACCTGCGATCATTTAAAAATGTTAAGCCAGCCAACCTGCTTTAATTCCTTTTATCACTCTCTTTCACTAATTTTAATAATTAATTTATTTATGTAGTTAAACCATCGATAAACCGCGAAAAGATGAAACCCATCAAGGTACGGGCTGGCCAAACTGTCAAATTCGATGTGGATGTTAAGGGCGAGCCAGCTCCAACACTAACCTGGTTCTTTAAAGAAAAGGAACTTTCACCAACAGGACAAGTGAGATTAGAGAACGAAGACTACAATACAAAGCTTACCCTACTCGATACAGCGCGCAATGTAAGCGGGGAATATAAGCTTCGAGCTGAAAATATCAATGGTGTCGATGAGGCTCTTGTTGAAGTTATTATTCTTGACAAGCCCTCAAAGCCCGAAGGTCCTTTGGAGGTCTCGAACGTTCACAAGGAAGGATGCAAGCTAAAGTGGAAGAAACCCAAGGATGATGGCGGTGTTCCCATCACCGGTTATATCGTAGAAAAAATGGACACAGCGACGGGTAAATGGGTTCCTGCTGGTTCTGTTGATTCCGAAAAGACCGATATCGATATTAAGGGTCTAGATCCCAATCATCGCTATCAGTTCCGAGTTAAGGCCGTGAACGAGGAGGGTGAATCGGAGCCATTGGAAACTGATTCAGCGATTACAGCCAAAAATCCATTTGATATATCAGCGCCACCCGGCCTTCCCGAACTAGATGATTGGGATGAGCATCATGTAAAATTGAAGTGGGAACCACCAATACGCGATGGCGGCTCTCCCATTACAAGTTATATCGTCGAAGTTATGGATAAGGACTCGGGAGAATTTGTTAAAGCAATGGAGACGGAAGGTCCAATTTGCAAGGGCGTGGTTAAGAAGTTGGAAGAGGGTCAGCAGTACAAGTTTAGAGTTCGTGCTGTTAACAAGGCCGGGCCATCGGATCCATCTGAGCAGAGTAATTGGCATACAGCCAAGCCACGCTACCGTAAGTTATTACAATCAATAAATTTTTATTTTATTTCTAATTTCTATTTAAATATATATTTTTAGTAAAACCTCTTATTGACCGAACCAATCTGAAGCCGGTTATCGTTAAAGCTGGTTTGTCTATAAGCTTGGATATAAACATCAAGGGTGAGCCTGCTCCAAAAGTGGAATGGTTCTTTAACAACTTACCACTGGTAAGCAGTGAGGAAGGCATAAAATAGATAATATTGATTACAATACAAAGTTCTTTGTCATGCGTTCTCAACGCCCACAAAGTGGCAAGTATACCATCAAGGCCACAAACGAAGTTGGCGAAGATGTCGCCGAATTGGAGATTAGTGTTTTGGGTAAACCTGGAAAGCCAAAGGGTCCCCTACAAGTCAACGATATCACGAAACACAGCTGCAAGCTTAAATGGGAAAAACCCGATGATGATGGTGGAACTCCCATTGATTATTATGAAATTGAAAAACTTGACCCGCACACGGGTCAATGGTTGCCATGTGGAAAGAGTACCGAACCCGAAGCAAAAGTTATAGGTCTTCACGAAGGAAAACCATACAAGTTCCGAGTAAGAGCCGTTAACAAGGAGGGTGAATCGGAAGATTTGGAAACAGAGAAACCTATTATTGCTAAGAATCCATTCGATGAACCCGATAAGCCCGGCCGACCCGAACCCACTAATTGGGATAAGGACTTCGTTGACTTGGCGTGGGATTCACCAAAAACCGATGGTGGGGCACCCATTCAGAAATATATCATTCAAATGAGGGACAAATCTGGAAGGGCTTGGGTGGATGCCGCCACTGTGCCAGGTGATAAGACCACTGGCACCGTTACTTCCGGCATCGAAGATGGACATGAGTATGAGTTTCGTATCGTTGCAGTCAATAAGGCAGGTCCAAGTGAACCTAGTGATGTTTCCAAAACGGTAATAGCTAAGCCTCGATTCTTAAAACCACATATCGACCGCAAGAATCTGCAGAAGAAAATTATGCGCAGTGGTCAAATGCTTCACATGGATGCTGCTGTTAAGGCAGAGCCACCAGCTAAAATCGTCTGGACATACAATGGCTCGGAAATCAAATCATCCGATCACATCAAGATTGATAATGAGGATTACAAGACTACATTTATAATGCCAAAGGTGAAGCGAGCGGATCGTGGTACATACATAGTAACTGCGAAAAATGATTCCGGTTGTGATACAGTGGAAGTTGAACTAGAGGTTCTATGCAAGCCGAGCAAGCCTAAGGGTCCATTAACTGTATCCGATGTAACAGCGGAGAGTGTCCACCTGAAATGGGAGAAGCCCGAAGATGATGGTGGTGAGCCCATTGAACAATATGTTGTTGAACGTATGGATACAGAAACGGGACGGTGGGTACCAGTTTTAACCACTAAGGTTCCAGAAGCTGATGTCCCTGGCCTTACCGAAGGTAAAGAATATATGTTTCGAGTCAAGGCTGTCAATGCTGAAGGTGAATCGGAGCCTTTGGTCACCGATGTTCCTACCAAGGCTAAGAATCCATTTGATGCCGCCGAGACCCCCGGTAAGCCACAAATTCTCGATTGGTCAGCAAATCATTGTGATCTTAAATGGCGAGCTCCCGATGATGACGGTGGTGCACCAATCACTGGTTATATAATTGAAAAGAAGGATCCAAATACCGGAAAATGGCAAAAAGCTCTTGAAACCAATACGCCAGATTGTAAGGCGCGTGTTAATGATTTAATTGAAGGAAATAAATATCAATTCCGAGTCAAGGCCATAAACAAGGCGGGTCAAAGTAAGCCTTCAGAGCCTTCGGACCAAATGACGGCCAAAGATCGCTTTGCACCCCCGAAAATTGACAGAACTAATATTAAGGATATTACTATTAAAGCCGGACAACACCTTCGTTATGATATTAAAGTGTCTGGAGAACCGCCAGCAACAAAAGTTTGGCTGCACAATAAGGCACGATTGGAAAACGATGATAGTGACTATAATATTGACATTGAATCTTATCGCACCAAGCTGACGGTCCCATTTTCGAAACGTTTCCACTCCGGCAAATATACCCTTAAAGCTGAGAATGAGTCGGGTCGAGATGAGGCTTCATTTGAAGTAATTGTCTTAGACAGACCTGGTGCTCCAGAAGGACCATTGCGTGTCACAGATGTTCATAAGGAGGGTTGTAAGCTAAAATGGAACCCTCCGCTGGATGATGGTGGCCTGCCCATTGAGCATTACATCGTTGAAAAACTAGACGTGGAGTCAGGACGTTGGCAGCCATCGGGTCGCTATAAGGAACCCTTTGCCGAACTTAACAATTTGGAGCCAGGACATGAATATAAATTCCGAGTTATAGCAGTAAATACTGAGGGTGATTCCGAACCATTAACTGGGGAACAGTCCGTCATTGCAAAGAATCCATTCGATGAGCCCGGCAAACCTGGAACTCCAGAAGCAACAGATTGGGATAAGGATCATGTGGACTTGGTATGGCGCCCCCCACTCAACGATGGTGGATCTCCCGTTACCGGTTACATCATTGAGAAACGAGAAAAAGGAACTGATAAATGGATTAAGGGTGCTGAAGTCTCGGCTCCAACTTGTGGCGAAGAGTGCAAATCGACGGTGCCAAATCTTAATGAAAACTGTGAATACGAATTCCGTATTAAGGCAGTAAATGCTGCTGGACCTAGTGAACCTTCTGATGCCAGCAAAACTGTTATTACTAAGCCCAGAAAACGTAAGTAAATCTTTTATAAGAAAAAAATTGTTTGTCTAATTTGGTAAATTATATGTTTACTATTAGTGGCCCCCAAGATTGACCGCAAGAATATACGGACTTACAACATTAAGGCCAGGGAAGCGATTTTTTTGGATATTAAAATCAGTGGCGAACCGGCACCCAATGTTACTTGGAATCAAAATAACAAGTCCATTCCGGCCACATCAGTTTGCCATGTGGAGAATATTCCGTATAATACGAAGTATATAAATAATAGTCCTGAACGTAAGGATACGGGACTCTATAAGATCACCGCACATAACCTTTATGGTCAAGATCAAGTGGAATTCCAAATCAATATAATTGGTGGGTCAAAATCCTTTCTATTTTTTTGAAAAATATGTAAACAAAAATTTTTTATTTTGGGTTAGATAAACCTGGAAAGCCTGAAGGGCCCTTGGAAATATCAGATATTCACAAAGATGGCTGTAAACTGAAATGGAAGAAGCCAAGAGATGACGGTGGTGAACCTATAGAAAGCTATTTGATTGAAAAACTTGATCCAGATACAGGTATTTGGCTTCCTGTGGGCAAGAGTGACGTACCAGAGTACAATGTTGATGGCTTGGTGCCAGGACATGAGTACAAGTTCCGTGTTAAGGCCGTAAATAAGGAGGGCGAGTCAGAACCACTTGAAACTTTGGGAGCGATTGTTGCCAAGGATCCATTTAGTAAGTTTTTAAAATTACTTAAATTATATTACATAAACAATGAAAAGTTAACTCAAATTTCTTATTTAGCTGCCCCATCACAGCCTGGACAACCAGAACCCACCGATTGGACAGCCAATAAGGTAGACCTGGCTTGGACAGAGCCAGCAAGTGATGGTGGATCACCAATTACTGGTTATATTATTGAAGTTAAAGATAAGTACAGTCCTCTGTGGGAGAAGGCTTTAGAAACCGATGGCGCAGCTCCTATAGCCACTGTACAAGGCTTAATTGAGGGCAATGAATACCAATTCCGGATAATTGCCCTAAACAAAGGTGGTCAATCGGAGCCTTCAGCTCCAAGCAAAAACTTTATTGCAAAACCGCGATACCTTGCACCGAAAATCGATCGAAGAAATCTTCGCGATGTAACCATATCCTCCGGAACTGCTCTTAAATTAGATGCAAATATAACAGGAGAACCCGCACCTAAAGTCGAATGGAAATTCTCGAATTACCCTCTGTCATCCGGTAAAAATGTTACAATTGAAAGTCCGGATTATTATACCAAATTGGTAATACGACCATCACAGCGTAGTGATTCTGGCGAGTACTTGGTCACTGCCACAAATAGTTCGGGTAAAGATAGTGTCCTAATCAATGTTGTTATTACTGATAAGCCATCACCACCTAACGGGCCACTTCAAATCTCAGATGTTTGTAAGGAGGGATGTCACTTAAAATGGAAACGGCCAAGCGATGATGGTGGTACTCCTATTGAGTACTTCCAAGTTGACAAGTTGGATCCAGAAACGGGATGTTGGATTCCTTGCTGTCGTTCTAATGAGCCCCAAGTGAACGTAACTGGCTTAACTCCCGGTAATGAATACAAGTTTCGTGTTTCAGCTGTGAATGCTGAAGGCGAGTCCCAGCCTTTAATTGGAGACGAGACAATTGTAGCCAAAAATCCCTTTGATGAGCCTGGCAAGCCGGAGAATCTTAGAGCCGTAAATTGGGATAAAGATCACATCGACTTGGCCTGGACACCGCCGTTAACTGATGGTGGTTCCCCTATAACTGGATATCTGGTTGAAAAGAAGGATAAGTTTGGTAAATGGGAGAAGGCTCTAGAAGTTCCCCCACATCAATGCAATGCCACTGTTCAAGATTTAATCGAGGGACAATCCTATGAATTCCGCGTGTCTGCCATAAATGCTGCTGGACTAGGAGAACCATCAGATGCCACATCCCCGATTACTGCCAAGTCACGTAATAAGCCGCCAATTATAGATCGCTCCAACTTAATTGAAGTACGAATTAAATCTGGACAAGGATTTGTATTTGATTGTAAAGTATCTGGAGAGCCTGCGCCTATAACTAAGTGGTTCCTCAAGAAAAAAGAAGTAATCTCAAAGGATAACGTCAAAGTAATTAATGTTGAGTACAACACTAAACTAAAAGTGACTTCTGCAACAAGAGCCGACACCGGTTTATATACCATACATGCAGAGAATGTCAATGGTGAAGACAATGCCGAAGTAAGGGTAACTGTGATTGACAAGCCCTCGCCCCCTAATGGACCACTGGAGATTAATAATATAAACGCTGAGGGTTGCAGCTTACATTGGAACCCTCCCGATGATGATGGTGGTCAACCTATTGACAATTATATTGTTGAAAAACTAGATGAAGCAACAAATCGTTGGGTGCCAGCTGGTGAGACAGACGGCCCAACCACCACTCTCAAAGTGAAGGGTCTTACACAGGGACATAAATATAAATTTAGAGTTCGTGCTAAAAATCGTCAAGGAATCTCAGAACCCCTTACAACAAGCAAAGCGGTTGTGGCTAAAAATCCGTATGACGAGCCCACAAAGCCCGGCACTCCGGTCATCAAAGATTTTGACAAGGATTTTGTTGATTTGGATTGGGCTAGACCAGAAAGTGATGGGGGCTCACCTATCATAGGTTACATCATTGAGAAGCGTGACAAGTATTCACCGGATTGGGAAAAGTGTGCAGAGGTAAGTGGTGACACCACAACTGGTCACGTTCCCGATCTTATTGAAGGTGTTAAATATGAATTCCGTGTTCGGGCGTTGAACAAAGCGGGTCCAGGTTTACCCAGTGATTCCACAGAACCACATGTTGCTAGACCCAAGAATATGCCTCCCAAGATTGATCGCAACTTTATGGTGGATATAAAAATTAAGGCAGGTAATGTCTTTGAATTTGATGTTCCAGTAACAGGTGAACCAATTCCATCCAAAGAATGGACTCATGAGGATAATATGGTCATTAACACAGATCGTGTAAAAATTACCAACCTTGATGATCGAACCAAGTTACGTATATTAGATGCCAAACGATCGGATACGGGGGCTTACACTTTATTGGCTCGTAATATTAATGGTATGGATAAACACACCGTTAAGGTTACTATTTTGGATGTACCAAGTACTCCAGAAGGACCATTACGAAATAGTGATATTACGAAAAACTCGATAACCCTACACTGGCGACCACCCAGAGATGATGGTGGTTCTGAGATCACACATTACGTTGTGGAAAAAATGGATAATGAAGCCATGAGATGGATTCCAGTTGGTGAAAGTGCCGACACTGAAATTCGTGCCGATAATCTAATTGAAAATCATGATTATAGCTTCCGTGTTCGTGCTGTGAACAAACAGGGTCAATCCCAGCCTTTGACCACCTCACAACCGATAACTGCCAAAGATCCGTATTCGCATCCCGATAAACCCGGTCAACCTCAGGCAATTGATTGGGGCAAAGACTTTGTCGATTTGGAGTGGGCTGCACCAAAAAAAGATGGTGGTGCACCTATAACTTCCTATATTGTTGAAAAACGACCCAAATTTGGTCAATGGGAACGAGCTGCTGTTGTTCCCAATGATGAGTGCAAAGCGCACATCCCAGAATTAACAGATGGTGGGGAATACGAATTCCGCGTAATTGCCGTTAACCGAGGTGGACCCAGTGATCCATCTGATCCATCGGGCACAGTTATTTGCAAGCCAAGATTTTTGGCACCGTTCTTTGATAAATCTCTCTTGAACGATATTACAGTTCATGCTGGTAAGCGATTGGGTTGGACTTTACCAATTGAGGCATCACCAAAACCATCCATTAAATGGTTATATAATGGCAAAGAAATTGGTTTAAATTCCCGAGGTGAATGTACGTTTTTCCAAAACGAAATAAACTTCGAAATACCGTCGGCATTGCGTAGTGACGAAGGACGATATACGTTAATTCTGAAAAATGAGCATGGTTCATTCGATGCATCTGCACATGCCACCGTGTTGGATCGCCCATCAGCCCCGAAGGGACCTTTGGATATTACTAAAATTTCTAGAGATGGCTGCCATTTGGCTTGGAATGTTCCAGAAGATGATGGGGGCTCACCCATTTTGCATTATATTATTGAAAAAATGGACATGTCTCGAGGAACTTGGTCAGATGCTGGCATGAGCACACATCCTGTACATGATGTCATACGACTTGTTCATCGCAAAGAGTACTTGTTCCGCGTCAAGGCCGTTAATGCTATTGGGGAATCTGATGCTTTAGAGGCATCCAAAAGCATAATAGCTAAGAACGAGTTTGATGAACCGGATGCTCCCGGTAAACCCAATATAACAGACTGGGGTTGCAATCATGTTGATTTACAATGGGCTGTACCTAAGAGTGACGGCGGAGCTCCACTAACTGAGTACATAATACAGAAAAAAGAAAAGGGCAATCCATATTGGATTAATGTGCTACATGTCCCATCAAATAAGAACACTGCGACAGTGCAAGAGCTGACCGAAGGACAAGAGTATGAATTCAGAGTAATCGCAGTAAATGAAGCAGGACAATCGGAGCCATCGGAACCATCCGATATGATAATGGCTAAGGCACGCTACTTGCCTCCAAAGATAATCACACCCCTTCATGAGATACGTATAAAAAGCGGTCTTATCTTTCACACAGATATACATTTTATTGGTGAACCAGCACCTGAAGCGATATGGACGCGTAATAATGATCCATTAAAGTCAAACGAACGATCAACGATTACTTCAATTGGTCATCATACTGTACTTCACACTGTTAACTGCCAACGTTCTGATTCTGGAATATATCACTTACTGTTACGCAATGATTCGGGCGTCGATGAAGGCAGCTTCGAACTTATAGTTCTCGATCGCCCCGGCCCTCCCGATGGTCCAATGCAATATGAGGAAATCACAGCAAATTCGGTAACAATATCTTGGAAGCCACCAAAGGATAATGGTGGATCTGAGATTTCATCATATGTTATAGAAAAACGTGATCTAACTCATGGCGGTGGTTGGGTTCCAGCTGTCAATTATGTTAATGCCAAATACAATCATGCTTTAGTACCTAGACTCTTAGAAGGAACCAAATATGAGTTTAGGGTAATGGCTGAAAATCTACAAGGACGCTCTGATCCACTAACTTCAGATCAACCAGTAATTGCCAAGAACCAATATACAGTACCAGGAACTCCAGGCAAACCTGAGCTAACGGATAGTGACAAGGATCAGATATCTATCAAATGGAAACAGCCTATAAGTAATGGCGGGTCACCCATTATTGGCTATGACGTTGAACGTCGCGATATGGGCACTGGACGATGGATCAAAATAAATGGTCAGCCAGTCCCTACTACAGAGTATCAAGACGATCGTGTATCACCGAATCATCAATATCAATATAGAGTATCGGCAGTTAATGCCGCTGGCAATGGTAAAACCTCAGAATCATCATTAACATTTGATGCTCGACCATTGCGCGAAAAACCAAGACTTTACTTAGAAAACTTAGTTGGACGACGTGTTAAGGTCCGTGCCGGTGAACCTGTTAATATTACCATACCAATTTCTGGTGCTCCTACACCTACTATTGAATGGAAGCGTGGTGATATAAAGGTCGCAGAAAACAAGCGTATTTCCCACGACACAAACTCTGAAAGAACCATATTTCGTATTGAAGACTCAAATAGAAAAGATGCTGGATCTTATACAATTTTTGCTAGTAATGAATTCGGCAAGGACTCTGCGGACATTGAAATTATTGTCGTTGACAAGCCATCAATACCAGAAGGACCGTTGAGCTATACGAAAACAGCGCCCGATCACATCTCGTTGCAATGGAATCCACCTAAAGATGATGGTGGCAGTGAGATAACTGGTTATATAATTGAATTCTCAGAATTTGGAGCTGACGACTGGAAACCCGTGCCCGGTTATTGTCCCAAGACAAACTACACCGTCAAGGGTCTAACCGAAGGCAAAAAATATGTGTTCCGGGTGCGAGCGGAAAATATTTATGGCACTTCTGAAGCTCTAGAAGGCAGGCCTGTCTTGGCAAAGTCGCCATTCGATCCACCTGGTCCACCATCCCAGCCAACTATTCCAGCATATTCTCCAAGCTCTGTCAGCTTAGAATGGCATCCACCTGACTATTGTGGGGGCAAACCCGTATCTGGTTACATTGTGGAGAGACGTGAGCGCGGTGGCGAATGGATCAAGTGCAATAATTATCCAACACCAAATACTAGCTTTACCGTTCCAGATTTACGTGAAGGAGCTCGCTATGAGTTCCGCGTAATTGCATTAAACGAAGCTGGCCCCGGTCAACCGTCAAAGCCATCGGATACAGTCACGGCAGAACTTCAGCGATATTGTCCCGATGCACCAGAACCACCTAAGGCCGATCGCATATTTAAGGATAGTGTTACATTATCATGGCGACCACCACGCAACGATGGAAAATCCCGAATCAAGGGCTATCATCTCGAAATGCGGGCCAAAAATGATAAGGATTGGAAGCCAGTTAATGATACGCCCATAAACTCTACCGTTTATACAGTACCAAATCTAAAAGAGGGTGAGGAGTACTCATTCCGTGTTATTGCCGAAAATGATGTTGGCCGTTCAGAGCCATCAAAGCCCTCACAACCTATCACAATTGAGGAGCAGCCCAACAAACCTTGCATGGATTTGGGTAATGTTACGGATATTATATGCAGAGCTGGTGATGATTTTAGTATTCATGTTCCATATGTGGCTTTTCCCAAGCCAAATGCCTTTTGGTATTCCAATGACACTGTCCTAGATGATGTTGATACGCGTGTCCATCAACATTTGACCGATGATGCAGCTTCGTTTGTGGTGAAAAACTCGAAACGTTCGGATTCCGGTCAATACCGTCTACAATTAAAGAACCCATCAGGATTTGATACTGCTACCATCAATGTTAAGGTTTTGGATAGACCAGCACCGCCAACAAAACTCCGAGCAGATGAATTTGCGGGAGATTCCCTTACACTATATTGGAATCCACCAAAGGACGATGGCGGATCTCCTATACAGAATTATATAATTGAGAAGAAGGAAGCACACTCATCCACGTGGACCAAAGTCAGTAGCTACTGTACAGTACCATTTGTCCGAGTGCGTAACCTTGGTATTAACAAGGAGTACGATTTCCGGGTAATAGCTGAAAATAAATATGGACAATCTGATCCAGCCAATACTACAGAGCCTATTCGAGCCCGACATCCATTTGATGTACCCAATGTACCTGGAATACCGCGTGGCATTGACTCAACGGAAGATAGCATAACAATCGCATGGTCAAAACCAAAGCATGACGGTGGCTCACCCATTATGGGCTATATTATCGAAAAGCGCCTGTTGGGCGAGGATAAATGGACAAAGGCTGTGCATTCATTGTGTCCTGACACGACTTGTAAAATACCGAACCTAATAGAGAATGCCGAATATGAGTTCAGAGTAGCAGCCTTAAATGCGGCTGGTCAATCCGGTTATAGTGCAGCCAGTGATTTAATCTTCTGCCGTCGACCACCTCATGCACCAAAAATAACATCAGATTTATCGATACGTGATATGACTGTTATAGCAGGTGAAGAATTTCACATCACAGTACCATATCATGCCAACCCAAGACCAACCCCATCATGGCAGATGAATGGTCTTGATGTAGTTCCCGATAAACGGATTAAATTTGATACGGATGATTTTGCTTCGGTTTATCATAATTCATCTGCGAAGAGAAGTGAAACTGGTTCGTACACCATCACACTGACTAATAGCAAGGGTTCCGACACAGCCTCATGCCATGTAACAGTTGTGGATAGACCGGGACCACCGCAGGGACCATTAAATGCGTATGATATAACTCCTGACACATGCACACTCGCTTGGAAGACTCCGTTAGATGATGGCGGATCACCAATTACCAATTATGTTGTTGAAAAGCTTGATGCCACCGGAACATGGGGGAAACTTAGTAGCTTTGTTCGTAACACCCATTACAACGTTATGGGACTAGAGCCACAACATAAGTATCATTTCCGCGTTAGAGCCGAGAATCAATATGGTTTATCCGATCCCCTTGATATCCCTGAACCTATTGTTGCAAGACATCAATTCACAGTCCCAGATGAACCGGGCCAACCAAAAGTAATTGATTGGGACTCTGGCAACGTTACACTTATTTGGACACGACCTGCCGGGGATGGTGGATCTCGTATTCAAGGTTATCAAATTGAATATCGTGATATAGTGAATGACTCATCGTGGAATACCTATGACTATCTTATCAAAGATACCAAATATCAACTGTATAACTTAACCAACGGCTCTGAATATGAGTTTAGAATAAAGGCTAAGAATGCTGCAGGATTAAGCAAACCTTCACCACCCTCCTTGCGCTTTAAGCTAAAAGGCAAATTTAGCGTACCATCGCCACCGGGAACTCCACAAGTTACTAAAGTTGGTAAAAATTATGTTGATTTGAAGTGGGAGAAGCCGTTAAGAGATGGTGGCTCTCGTATCACTGGGTATATTATAGAGCGAAGGGATATCGGTGGTGCCGTCTGGGTTAAGTGTAACGATTATAATGTCTTAGATACAGAATTTACAGTGATTAACCTTATTGAAATGGGCGATTACGAGTTCCGTATATTTGCTGTTAATTCAGCGGGAAGATCGGAGCCAAGCCTATGCACAATGCCCATTAAGGTTTGTGAAGTAATTGGTGGAGAGAAACCGGAATGGATAACGAGACTTCACGATCGTGTTGCGCCATATGGCAAAGATTTCACCCTGCAATGTGAGGCATCGGGTAAGCCTCTCCCAACAGCAAGATGGCTTCGAAATGGTAAAGAAATTCAAATGGGCGGAGAACGAATTACTTGCGACTCCAAGGATGGCCTCTTCCGATTGCACGTCTCAAATGTGCAGGCTGGCGACGACGGTGACTATACATGCGAGGCGATCAATTCTCTTGGATTTGTCCATACCTCCGGTTACCTTAAGATCGGATCTCCGCCAGTCATTAACCGATGTCCCAGTAAGCTTTTCTTACCCGAAGGTGATAATGCTAAGATCAAGGTCTACTATTCTGGCGATCAGCCATTAACTGTGATATTAAAACGTAACAACGAAGTGGTTTTAAAGTCGGACAGCAGTGATGACAGCCACATTAAGTTCACCATATTTGATGACTACGTGGCGATATTTCTACGTGATATTGTTAAAAGCGATGTAGGTCAATATCAAATTGAATTTACTAATGATTCGGGTAGTGCCATTGGTCAATTTGATGTACACATTACGGGTCTACCCTCAGCACCGATCGGACCGATGGGTATCTCTCATATTAACAAACATTCGTGTTCTTTGGCCTGGCGTCCACCATCTTATGATGGTGGCCTTAAGGTTACTCATTATGTTGTAGAACGTAAGGATGTTTCCTCACCACACTGGATAACGGTGTCTAGTACTTGCAAAGACACCTCCTTTAATGTCCAAGGTCTACTTGAAAATCAGGAATATATTTTCCGTGTTATGGCTGTTAATGAAAACGGAATGGGTCCTCCCCTTGAGGGCTTGAATCCGATTCGAGCCAAAGCCCCAATTGACCCTCCTTCGCCACCAGGCATTCCCCAGATCCTCGAGATTGGGGGAGACTTTGTGCATTTGGAATGGAGTAAGCCAGAATCGGATGGCGGTGCTCACATTCAAGGTTATTGGATCGAGAAACGTGAAGTTGGAAGTGATACATGGCAGCGTGTCAACGCTACCATCTGTGCTGCTTCTCAAATAAACTGCTCCAATCTGATCGAAGGTCGGCAATACGAATTCCGTATCTTTGCTCAGAATGTTGCAGGCCTATCGAAGCATTCATACTCCTCGCAGGCTATCAAGATAGTAGATCCAAAGGCTGCATCACCTCCATTGATTGTGAAACCATTACGTGATGCCAATTGCATTCAAAATCATAATGCCCAATTCTCTTGCAACATTACGGGTGTTCCAAGACCAACCATTACTTGGTATAAGGGTGCACGAGAGATAACCAATGGGGCAAGATATCACATCTACGCAGAAGGCGATAATTATTTCCTAAATATAAATGACGTATTTGGCGAAGATGCCGATGAATATGTCTGTCGTGCCGTTAACAAAGCGGGTGCAAAATCAACAAGAGCTGCTTTAGCTATTATGAGTAAGTACAAATAATATTCATTATATATTTCTTATTTATAGATCGTTAATAACACGAAACATTTTTTTGTTACAGCTGCTCCCAAACTAAACGTTCCACCTCGATTCAGAGACACAGCTTATTTCGACAAGGGTGAAAATGTTGTAATCAAAATACCATTCACTGGCTATCCCAAACCACGTATTCATTGGATTAGGGAAGGTGAGAATATTGAGTCTGGTGGACACTACCATGTTGAAGTAAAGGAGAGGCATGCGGTACTAACAATTCGTGATGGATCCCGATTGGACACTGGACCATATAGAATAACAGCGGAAAATGAGCTTGGCCTAGATACAGCTATAGTTCAAGTGCAAATAAGCGACCGCCCCGATCCGCCACGCTTCCTCACTATCGAATGTATTGGTACTGATTCGTTGTCTCTGAATTGGAAGGCCCCAGTATGGGATGGTGGCAGTGACATCACAAATTATTATGTAGAGCGTCGTGAGCATCCCTTATCATCGTGGATACGAGTGGGTAATACACGGTTCACCTCGTTGGCCGTCAGTGGTCTAACGCCCGGTAAAGAATATGATTTCCGTATCTTTGCTGATAATGTTTATGGTCGTTCAGAGCCATCCGAACCGAGCACGCTTATCAAGACGAAAGACTCAATTAAAAAGAAGCCAACCGAACGGAAATACGAACTTGATGCGAATGGCAAAAAGGTGCGGGGTAAAGCCGATGGGCCAATCAAGGACTACGATTCGTATGTCTTTGATATCTACTCCAAATTTGTACCCCAGCCAGTTGAAATATCGCACCATAGTGTTTACGATAAGTACGATATATTGGAGGAGATTGGAACTGGTGCCTTTGGTGTGGTGCATCGCTGTCGCGAACGTAGTACTGGAAATATATTTGCGGCCAAGTTCATTCCAGTCTCACATGCCGTTGAAAAGGATCTGATTCGTAGGGAAATCGATGTTATGAATCAGCTACATCATCAAAAGTTAATTAACTTGCATGATGCCTTCGAGGATGATGATGAAATGGTTCTGATATTGGAATTGTAAGCTATTTAATGGAAACGTATATATTTTTCAAACTATATTTATATCCTATTTTATTTTTTAAACAGCTTATCAGGTGGTGAACTGTTTGAACGTATTACCACCGAAGGTTATGTGATGACGGAAGCTGAGGTTATTAATTACATGAGGCAAATATGCGAAGGCATTCGGCATATGCACGAAAAGAACATTATACATTTAGACATTAAGCCCGAAAATATCATGTGCCAAACTAGATTGAGCACGAATGTTAAGCTTATTGACTTTGGATTAGCAACTAGGCTAGATCCAAATGAAGTGGTAAAAATTACCACAGGCACCGCCGAGTTTGCTGCTCCAGAAATCGTAAACAGAGAACCCGTTGGTTTCTACACGGATATGTGGGCAACAGGTGTATTAGCTTATGTTCTGTATGTTTCTATAATTATTTGTTAATATAGTGTAGCTATTAATAATTTCTTATTTATAGATTAAGCGGTCTGTCACCATTTGCCGGCGATAATGATGTACAAACACTTAAGAACGTCAAGGCCTGCGATTGGGACTTTGATATACAATCATTTAAGTACATTTCCGAAGAAGGCAAAGATTTTATTCGCAAACTTTTGGTGGCTAACAAGGAAAAGCGTATGACGGCACATGAATGCCTATTGCATCCTTGGTTAACCGGAGATCATATTGGCACCACTCAAACTCTTAACCGTGATCGTTATTTGGCATATCGCGAAAAGCTGCGAAAGAAATATGAAGATTTCGAGAAATATTTATTGCCAATTGGACGGCTGTCCGAATACTCTTCTTTGCGTAAATTGCTAATGGAAAAATATAAGATTCATGATACGGTTATTGATCGGAGACAAGCAGCGCCACGATTCGTAATTCGACCATCATCCCAATTCTGTTATGAGGGACAGAGCGTCAAGTTCTATTGTCGATGCATCGCTATAGCCACGCCAACGGTTACCTGGTCACACAATAATATTGAACTACGACAGAGTGTTAAGTTTATGAAGCGCTATACTGGTGATGATTATTACTTCATTATTAATCGTGTCAAGTTAGACGATCGCGGTGAATATATAATCCGTGCAGAGAATCATTATGGCTCTAGGGAAGAAGTTGTTTTCCTTAACGTTCAACCATTGCCAAAAGAATTACCCAAATTCCGTACGGAATCAACGCCAGTTCGCCGTCGTGAACCTTTACCATATACATTCTGGCAGGAAGAATCCGAATCGGCGCCCAGTTTTACATTCCTATTGCGGCCGCGTGTAATGCAGGCGCGCGACACCTGTAAACTTTTATGTTGTCTTAGTGGAAAGCCTGTACCCACGGTCAAGTGGTACAAGGATGGCCGTGAGCTTAGCAAATACGAGTATGCCATGACCCATTCAGATGGTGTCGTCACCATGGAAATCATTGATTGCAAGCCATCCGATTCTGGGAAGTACAGTTGCAAGGCTACAAACTGTCATGGAACAGATGAAACCGAATGCGTTGTTATTGTTGAAGGTAAACTATGAACAGTTTTCTAAAAGGGAAACAAATTTAGAATTTTATATACTTTAATATAAAACTATATTTTGGGTTTCTATTGTGGCCCACTATTTGGGTTTTGTAGTAGTTTTGTTTAGGATATGAAATATACTTTTCAGTATATTTTTTTTTGCGTATTTTAATAATGTGAATAAACTTATTTTTTTCTAAATGTAAAAATTAAACTATTTCCCAGGAGAATGGGTCACACCTGAGCAGGCTCAACTTGCCCACAATTTTCTGTATTCAGGAGGTAAATTATATATTATAACATAAAAATGAGTAAAATGATTTACATTTTGTTACCCCTCCCTGGCATGCTCATATAATACTTCAATTGAACACAATATCAATTTAATATAAATTAGGTTGTTTTCCATTCTTAATATTATTAATTGTGGGGATGGGCAATAACTGATACGATATTTTAACAAATACGTACATTATATTGTACATTTCATTGTACGGCTCCTTATTATAATTTTATTAATTTGTATGTAAATATATATATAAACTTTAGAACAATTCAAGACAAAACAAATATAAGACTTACTAATCTTAAAACCAACACACCAACAAAAAACTTTCTACCGTTTCTTACATACATATTGTAGCAAACACTAAAATTTAAAACTAATATTTAATCGAATCAACAAGCGCAATGTATGAAATATATATAATAATGTTTTTTGAACAGACCGGAAGTACATAGAGCAGCCATTAAAGCCCGCTCCGCCACCAATAATAACATCTCGGCAATTCACCTCAACATCTGAAACAAAGGCAAGTGAAATTAATATTATTCGGCTTATAATAACTTATTATTATCTTGTTAGGCCAACAAAAAGGACGAAGCTTTAGACCCTCAAAATAGCATTTCTAGCAAAAAGAAGTACGCATCGAATAGTTTACAGACCCCCGGTAGCCCGTCGAGGTCACGTAGTGCTACCAAAGAACTGATACGTAAGTAATTTTAAATAAAATTGTTAATTTCGGCTCGTCGAAGTTTGTATACCCTTGCAGATTGCAATTCGATTATTAATAAATTAATTTTTACCTAATGAAAATAAAAAATACAATAAAAATTAGATATATTTATGTTAAAAAACAACGAAGTAATTCCTACTTTTATTACACTCACCTATACTTATTTTTTTTACAATCGTACAGTTAAAGTTATATTCACAATTTGGCGTTTTCCTCTAAATTTAACGATAGTTTCTATGACAGCTATATGATATAACCTCCCTATTATCATAAAACTAAAACCAAAATGTTATAATATTATAAAATGGCTATATCTAAAATTTGATGAAAATATGTTGAAAACTGTAAAAGCTATAATATTTAAATGCATTCATTTCTCAATCTTTCCTATGGCAGCTATATGATATAGTCTTCAGATTTTTATACAATTTTAAACAATTTAAATTCTAGAATAACAAAAATTAATAATAATAAGAATAATACTTTTCTAAATATTTTCCGATCGTTCTTATGGCAGGTATATTATATAGCCTTCCGATCCAGCCCGGTATGACTTATGTACGAGTGAGAGTATATAAAAGACTAACTGAAAAGTTTCATTCAGATAGCTGAAAAACTGAAAGACTAGTTGCGTAGAATAGGACAGACTGACGGACACCCGGACGAACAGATGGACGGGCGGACAGACGGACATGGCTAAATCGACTCGGCTGTTGATGCTGATTAAGAATATATTTACCTTATATGCTCGGAGAAGATTCATTCAGTGCGTTTCAAACTTCTGACTGAATTTATAATACCCTCCAAGGGTATACAAACGGTATACAATAAACATTTGGACATTCCTAGATCAACACTGTTGTTGGGGAAGATTGAGATTATAACTTCTTTATCGGATCGAAAAGACAGTCAGACGACCGGAAAATACATATATATTCTTCAATAAAAATAATCAATATCTTCTGGTCAAATATATCTTAAAGGAGATGTATGTGTATATAAATCAAATCAAATATCAAATATTTAGGTTCGAAACATTGTTTTAAAACTCTAAAAAACAGCTATATCTCAGAGTTAATGTATAAAATAAAATATAAATTATAAATTAAGTATTATAGCACCAAAGCTAAGCAAATAGTTTGGCTAGATCAACTCGATGATGATCAAGAATAAACATATATGTATGTATGTTATATACTTTTTAAACGAATTCATAATACCGTGCAAGGGAACAAACATAAAAGTGGGTAATATTATATTGTTTTTTTTGCTATATATATTATCCCGTAGTTCCCCCGGATGACTCATTGATGTGCAAGCCAGAATTTACGAAGTCCCTTCACGATCTAACTATTCGTGATGGCGAACAATTGGTACTAAGTTGCCAGGTGAAGGGCGATCCAGAACCACAAATAACCTGGTCTAAGAACGGAAAATCAATCTCATCTTCGGATATTATGGATTTAAAATATAGAAACGGTACCGCAACCTTAACCATCAATGAGGTATTCCCAGAAGATGAAGGAGTGTTTACTTGTACGGCCACAAATTCGATTTGCGCTGTAGAAACGAAATGCAAGTTAACAATAATGCGTAAGTATTTTAACTTAGTCAAGCCTCAGTTAGAAATCACTTAAAGCCTTTAGTTTAGTAATAAATTATTAATTAGTTAATTAATTCATTTTTGTTTGTACATATATTTTTAGCTCTTGATAAGAACACAACAAAACGCCATGTGATCTCCAGTGACAAGGCACCAAAGATAGTGAGTCACTTGGAGTCGCGCTTTGTAAAGGACGGCGATGCCGTAACATTGGCTTGCCGCATCATTGGGGCTAGACACTTCGATGTTGTTTGGTTGCATAATAACAAGGAAATCAAGCCCAGCAAAGATTTCCAATATACAAACGAAGCGAATATATATCGCTTGCAAATTGCCGAAATTTTCCCGGAAGACGGTGGCACCTATACTTGTGAAGCCTTCAACGACGTTGGCGAATCCTTCAGCACCTGTACAATTAACGTATCTGTGCCCGGAGATGAGCCCAAGTACCCAGTTTTCTTAAAGTTCCCCACATCGGTTTCAATATTGGAAACAGAAAGTACCACATTTGAGTGTGAAGTGGACTCTGAACTTCTTAATTTAGTGTGGGTTAAGGACGGAAAGCCAGTAGATGAAACACATTCACGATACTCATTTACCAAGGATAGGAATCGGTATTGCTTTACAGTCGCCAAGTGTAATTTGGATGATGTTGGCCAATACCAAGCAAAGGCTGTGGCCAAGAAGGGAGAAAGTATATGCGCCTTCTCAATGAACGTACACAATGCAGAATCATAAGCATGCATATATGGCTTAAGAGTATGCCCAGATAATTTAGACTGCTCATCGAAAAGTCTCGCTGTCATCACATTATGCATTTTAAAGCATCATCCTTCCTGCAATAACAAAAACTCATAATTTCACGTATTATATTTAAAAATACTATTAATTTAATATATCATCAACAAATGTAAATTCACATTTTTATATAAATGGAAAAAAGGAACTTAATAACAGATCCTTCTACCATCGAAATTTTTAAGGCCTCTCAGTGCTTGGATGACTTCTGGCATCCTCAAAACTAAAATCTTTAAACTTTAGCCATTCAAGTATTTGAGACTATTAATCTTTCGAAATTGTAGATCTGTTGTATAACGAATTAATTATAATAAAATAAAAATCTGAAAAGGCAGTAATTGACAAAAACAAAAAAAAAGTAAAAGGAAATTAATAAAATAATAATAATAATATAAAAAAAAAGTTTCATTTTTGTGTTTGGACAAAACAGGTAAATAAAATTATACATAAATATCTACAATAATGTACACAAATTTTTTAAGTCGAGACAACATCCAGTTACAAAATATTGTCTTTTCGCACAGTCAAACCTTATGAAAAAGCTGGGATTTAGGTAGATGTGAAACTCCGATTCCACAGAGTTTCATCCACCGTTCGCCAGCTGCACAAATAGCAGTCGCTCATCCAAAAATATAAACAATTTTTAATACGAAATTCCTTGCTACACCTTCCTTGGTGTACTTGTAAGTAGATAGAAAACCTAACTCTGAGCCACCTATGATCTTGCCACTAATTGGTCATTAATTAAATAAATTGGGTTTGTTTGACACCTATCTCCTTGTTAGATGGGTAGGGGGGTAATAAAAAGTAAAAAAGGTCACTGATATCAAAACGCGTTCAATCATTTTCCCACGGTCGAATCCCAAACAAAAAGGTCACGTCGGCCCACCGGCAGACAACTTGTATAGCCCATAAAAAGACAGGGGACAAAAAATGTCTCTGAGCCATAAAAAAAGGAAGGTATCTTGTATACGAAGACTGCTAATTGAAGAGTTTTCAAGAAGGTTACAAGTCACATTACAATGAGAAGAGTGAGTGGTGGGATAAAAAAGGGTCTCAAAAGTCATTTGGAGAGGAACAACCGCGAAAGTCTATCAAGATCGGCAATACACAACCCTTTACCAAAAGTCATGTGTAAATGGTGAAATAGGCAGGACAGGCGCCGCACCCCATCCACTTAAGAGTTAATTAAGTAACGAGCCATAACTAGTAGAAGGGATTTCTAACAACCGGGTCATTAATTAGATAAATTAGGGTTATCCGACACCTGTCACCACCTTACACAATATTCCGTTAGGGAAAAATAAGATGAAGATCAGATTTTTAGATACCATTGGTTTCATTCCCTCTGACCTAGACACAATTGCAGGAAATTTCAATGAAGGGTATTTCAAAGTTCTTTAAAATCAATTTCTAAATGTAAAAGATTTCTCACTACTCTGTGGGAACGGTGTATTGCCATATGAATACTTGGATTCTGGCCAAAAATTATCAGAAACCTCTTTCCAAGGAACAATTTTATTTAGCAAATTAACAGACTCCGAACTGGAACTCTACCGAAAAACAGATGTTTTGTTGCTCGCAGACGTTTCTCAGACCTTTAGAGCTATTATTTCAAATATCTACCAACTCAATCCTGCTTATTATTATACAACTCCTGGCTTGTCGTGGTATGCGATGTTGAAACTTACAGGAATATACCTCGAATTATGTACTGATATTGATATGGAAATTTTAAATGGTTGAATCAACCAGAAATAGAAATGTATATATTAATTCTATTTGTGAGGAAAGTGAGTATGGATATATTTTAGAGGTACTTGCAATATCTATACTCACTTCACGACGAACACAATGACCTGCCTTTCTGTCCTGTAAACAGACTCCCTCCAAAAACCTCAAAGACTTCAAAGTAAATAGCCGATTTTTGTGATAAACATAAATATATCATACACTATAAAACTTTAAAGCAGTGTATAGATAATGGTTTAGAGCTCAAAAAGGTACATAGTATCCTCGAGTTCAAACAAAAACCTTAGCTTAAGAAATATATTGATATTAACACGGAGCACAGGACTAGCGCTAAAAGTAATTTTTAGAAAGACTTTTTAGCATTTGAATAACAGCGTCTATGGCAAGATCATGGAAAATAGGTTAAATCGCAAGGACATTCGCCTAGTAACAGAATGGGAATGGGTCCCCAAGGTAGGCGTCCTAGATTATGTGCGAGGGACTTAAAAGCCAGGTCCAATTTTCGTAGTGCAACAAAGTTCAATAAAAATATGTATGCGATTTTGAATAGACTACATAACGTTTGTGATAAGCCAACATTCCTGGGTTTTGTAGTGTTGAAGTTATCCAAATGGAAGATGTATGATTTTCACTACTCATTTATGAAACCCAAATTCCAAAATGGACTAAAATTAAATTATATGGATTCAGATGCATTTATCTACTCTATTAAAACAGAGGAATTATATAGTGAAATTCGTGGTAATGTTGCTTTAAAATTTGATACATCTGAATATCCAGGCTGTATAATTTCCAGCAGTGTAATAAGTAGCGCTTAGGGTTCTTTAAAGATGAACTGCAGGGTAGGTCAATGACAGAGTTTGTGGGTCTTCGCTCAAAAATGTATGCCTACACATCAGCGGGTGTAGGTAGCGAGTCTTAAAAATGTGTGAAGAAAAATAAGGGATTAAAACAAAGTTGTTTAAAGAAAACCACATTTAACAATTACAAAAATTATTTGTTCATAGGACAACAAGGTAGTAATAGCATCTAGGTCGAGAGGGCATGATATAACCTCATTATATAACCTTTCGTAGGGAAATTGAGGGCTGTGTGACAGGTCTAGAAGCAGATTCAAGGGTTTAGCTTAGACGAATGTCTGCTCATTAAAACACCCCAAATAATGAGGGTGAGAGAGTAACTTTCAAAAGAAAATTAGAAGATTCTGAAAGTGCGCTCGACAAATTCGAAAAATAATTAATTTGGCATTACATCAGCATTTTTTCAATGAATAAAATGAGGAATCCGAAAATTGTATTTAGATAAAACATATATTTTTTTATTTCTAGTATAATAATTTATTTAAAATATTTATTTTAAATTGTATATAATATTAAATAAGGATTAAAATTGAAACACAAAATAAATATTAATATTCAAGGGAAAACATAAAACTGCTTGTGTCTTTATTTCATTACAAAATTTTAGAGTTATTCATCCAACTGTCGGTGATTTTCGGGAAACCTAACCAACGTACAAGAGATCTTTTTCATTCTCTTTTAAGTAAAATACTTTCCCAACTAGGTAGGTATTGGGAAATCTAGTTTTTTTCAGCTAGGTACCTTCTCAACTATGTAGGTATTGGGAAATCTAGTTTTCTTCAGCTCTTCCATATAGAAACCACCCTTAATAGGATTTCCATTTAAGTCTTATAATAGATATGTTGTTGGATATGTATTTTGAACTTTGTTATCCTAAATATTTCAACATTTCAATTAGAAGTGTACGATTTCTCAAATACTCCCTTATATTTTGAAATTCGAACATTTTCAAAAATGTTCAGTTTGTTGCCTGTAAACATTTTAATATTATTGTATACCTTTCTCAAGATGTGTTTGTCATTCTCAGCGTTCACTTCGATAGGAGCCATTTTTATAGTCCTGTGTATTTTGTTGTTGTAAAAGTTAATTAACTTTTTGTAAATATCAACCCACTTATAGCTCCAGTTGTAAGAAAACTCGTTCCACATAAGTTTTTTTTAGTGTTCTGTTGAATCCCTCAACAATTGAAGCCTTTAAAGTACTAAATGTTGAATAATGATTTATTTGATGTCGATTCATCCAAGACTTAAACTGTACGTTAAAAAACTTATTCCCATCATCTGTTTGTATATGCTTTGGTACTCCATTGCTTCAACAACATCTTTTGCAGCCTTAGATTTAAGGGCTTCACATCACACAAATTTCGAGAATGTGTCAATTACTGTTAGTATGAAGCGATATCCATAATTCGAGGCAGAGTACTTTCCCATTTCCACCAGATCAGCCTGCCTTAACGAATTTATTCCCTCCGACGTAAAAACTGTTTACGCGCAGGAGCATGTAATTCATTAATAATGCCTTGCCTACTCATTTTCAGATAAAAGACTAACAAATTATTTCGAAAATCTTATTTTTTCAATAAAACTTGAAACAACAACCTCAATTCTCTCTAATCGATCGAGATTTGACATCAGGAATACTAAAAATAAGTTCTTGTTGATGTGAAATAATTGAATCCCTCAGTCCTACAGACTTTTCGACAAATTCCTTGTTGGGTATATCTATAGCTTCTTTGGGAACCCCCACATTTTTTGAACGTTGAATATTAAAATTAAGCTGCATCAGTATCGATTGCCTCAAGGCCATCAAAACTTTTTCCAATTTCTTCTGGAAATTTTGTAATCAATGATTTGATCATAAATAGCTATATCAACATATTCTTTGATGACGATGTCTGGGTTCTGTTTTGGGAATTTTTTATATGCCTTTTTATACCCTAGCAGGGTATTATAATTTCAGTCAGAAGTTTGCTACGCAGTGAAGGAGGCACCTCCGACTATATAAAGTATATATATTCTTGATCAGGATCAACAGCCGAGTCGATCTAGCCATGTCCGTCTGTCCGTCTGTCCGTTTCTACGCAAACTAGTCTCTCAGTTTGAAACTTTATAGTTAGCCTTCTTTATACTCTCACTCGTATATATGTCGGAACGGACCGTATCGGGCGACTATATCATATAGCTGCCATAGGAATGATCGAAAAATTTTTACAAGAAAAATTTTAACATTTTCATTTTTCAATAGAATTGGATCAAATTTAAAATATATCCATTTTATTAAACTCTTCAATTTGGTGTAAAATTTTATGAAAATCGGACTACTATAGTAGAATATAGAAATTAATACAATTAAATTTAGAACTTTTTCAGTTTTCAGCTGATTTTCATCAAATTTAAGGTATAGCCATTTGATATTAGTCTTAAATTTTGTGTTAAATTTCATGAATATCGGACGAGTATATCATATAGGTGCCATACAAACGATCTTTTGATTTGGAGGAAAAATGCAAATCAGTGAATGTAAAACTGCAAATATAATATGTATAGGTGAATGAAATGAAAGCAGGTATTACTTCATTATTTTTTAACACAAATCTATATAATTTATATGGTATGAATTCCCAGTCATAGAAGTTCTAGTTGCAAGGGTATATAAACTTCGGCGTGCCGAAGTTAGCTTTCTTTCTTGTTTGTATATTAAAGTTCTCATCAGTATCTAGGTAGAGTCCTGTCTCAGTT